CACATAGACAGAAAGTGAAATATGTATATTAGGGTTTCAGTTTGATGCAAAGGCTTTATATCAAGACACGTGCATTGATTTAAATAGTTATTGCAAGCTGTTTGCTATACACTTGGCATGGTCAAAATCAATCAGTGAAGCAATTAGTAATAAATATATTTATGTTTTGCTGGCCTTAGGTCTATTTTGAATTTGGTAATTTTCAAGTTTTACTGTTCAATGGAATTTCAAGTAAATTTAATTATTTTTTTTAAATTTTGCAGTAAACCATGTGATCTTATCTTATCAAATAGTTGGATTGAGTTCATGGCTGAAGGTTTCTTTCTTGATACTAGTGGGCAAAGAGAAGTAAAATGGCAGACCGTATTACTGGATTTTACTGTACTGGAAATTTCCACACAAAAAAAGAAAGAAGTTGAATTTGATTGTCCTGAATTTTTTATTTTTTTTTGGAACAATGAAACATTGATTTGATATTAAAAAATACAATCTGCCCTAAAATCTGTTATTTACATTAAGTGAAATAGATGCAAGTGAAAAAATAACCTTCTGTCAGAGTAAATTCCCTTAGGCAGCGTGAATAAATCCAACCTCAGACTGGGTGGGTAACATGGCCTCCTTGAATGAATTTTATTCATTTCAACATCGGTAGGCTGCTAGACCCCATGTACTGTAAGCGTAGAATACTGGACTCAAAGTGTATATACAATTACAAATGATACAGCAGCTGAACAGTGATTGGTATAATCCCCTGTATGTCCCCTGGAACATACAGTGTGTGTATGTGGGCGGATATGGTTAGGCTGACAACCGTATAATCTTTTTCACAGTATGTGAGGAACTATACATTGTTATTCAGTATGTGCTGAGCTCATGTATTAGCCTGTTACGTGTCCTGTTGTCCTGTGCCATCAGTATGTACTGTGTTATGCTGATTCTGTTTCTGCATCAGCTTAACATTCCAGTCTCAGGCCCAGCCTCTTTCCTCCCTAACCCCCCTGGCTACCTTCAGCCTTCTTTCCATCCTCCATTCCTCATTCCTCCCTACGCAGCCATGGATGGTACAGTCCTAGAGAAAAAAAAAAAGAATGCAAGAACAGTAGAGAAAAAGGGGGGGGGGGAGAGAGCAACCATGCATTAAGTTATTTTTTAAATGACGGTGATCAGAGTGGAGGAGCAGGCCGAAGGGGAGGAGGGACAAATAGAAGTGTTCGTGGACCGAGGAAGGCGGGTTCATGGCTCTCCTGACCGCCTCATTCTCCCCTCTCATTGGTTGGGGGGGTCCCCCTAGCTTCGTTAAGGGGCGTTTGAGCGCAAGACATGGATGACCCTCCTCGCCTGCAGCCTTTGAAGCAACCATGACAGCTGTCATCACTACGTACGTCAAAACCTGCCACGCCAATTTTACCCCTAAAGTGTTTGGAGATATGACTGTGGGGAGATAGTCTAGTAGGATGCTCTAAAAGCCCCTGAGAGGAGCATTCAGAGAAACCAAAATATTGGGAAATCAGGGATTCACAAACTATTTAATATCAGAGAGCCTTTGAATTGATACACGGGGGATTAGGGATTCCAGTTTGAAGACTTTACTTCAAGCAACCCCATCTGTGAAGATTTGTGTTGAGGCAATTGTTTGTACAGAATTACAGTCAAATCCCGTTATATCCTTTCTTTGTATTTTTAGACAATAACATGCTTTTAACATTTTTTTTTAACCCTCTCAAATACCCCTAGAATCTTCTCTTGTAACTGCTTGAGATCCTGTTGACTCAAAAACAATGCTTAGGATAAACGTCAGCACTGTGTAGAGTAGTACTAATTGTATCCTGAAGAGCTACTGGAATCAATAAGCCTCCAGATAGGAATTACTCTGCATGTTTGTGCTCTCTGAATGCAGCATGTCAGCAGTGGAACGTCAGTGAAATATGAAGTGTTACTCATTGGACTGTATGCTGGCTGCTTTGTGCAAGAAACTTTGCTGCAGCTTTGGCGGTTTTTAAAGAATGTGCATGGGTAAAAGGAAACAGGTGTGTAAGTGTCTTTGTGTGTGTGTGTGTGTGTGTGTGTGTGTGTGTGTGTGTGTGTGTGTGTGTGTGTGTGTGTTTTCTATCTTTACAAGGACAAATTTGAGACATTTAGATTCTGGACATTTTTGTGATGTAGCTTAGTGTGATGGATAGATATGGGTCTGGCATTTATTGTTGATGATCAGTATTACTTAAAAATAGAATGAATGTAGTTTAGGGTCCTCGTGTGTGTGTGTGTGTGTGTGTGTGTGTGTGTGTGTGTGTGTGTGTGTGTGTGTGTGTGTGTGTGTGTGTGTGTGTGTGTGTGTGTGTGTGTGTGTGTGTGTGTGTGTGTGTGTGTGTAAACCACTAGCAGTCTCTTACCTCTGGCCTCATCATCTAGCTGATTGACAGCTGCCCTCACCCTGTGGGTGCCTAGATGGAGGAGGAAGACGAATAGTCGCCTGTAATGAGGAACAGAACAGAGTACAGAGGAGTGCATAACTTTTTTTATACTTCAGAGAAAATGTTTGAGAGAATGAGAGAAATTCATGAGTTTTTGTGTGTATATATATATATATATATATATGGGTTAATAGGAAGAACAAGACTGCCAGGGTTACGGCTGCTGTTCCCTCAGGGACTGCCAGTGCAGTTGTCATATTGCTGTAAGCCCTTTTGATTAAAGTGCCAACCAAATGGCTGAAGTTAATACTGTAATGACAGTTGTCACTTCACAGTCACAAGACAGCATGTCAGTTTTTCAATAAAAATAAGGTATTTTTTTTACTCTCATTTTGCAATACATTAGGAGTATCTATTTTGGCTCATATGACATTGAGGTTTGGAAATAACAAAATCCACCTCCAGTGAGTGTTACTATTTTTTACTACTGATTACATGCTAACAGATCTTTTACTGACTGGCAGGCTACTTTTCTCAAACCTAGATTTAAAAGTATTGGTCAGATATTGTTCATGAACCCTGTTGTGATAAAAAAAAAAAAATCATGATGGTGTTTACTTTAAATGTTGAAGTGACACCTGACCAGATTTCCCAGGCACAGTTAAAATGTATCAGTGTTTGTGTTGAGCTAATATTACTCTTGTTTATTGTAGTCCACCCAGATTGGAATATTAACAGCATATTGATGCCGAGCTTGGCAGCAGAATAAGTTGATGACTGTTCAGTGACTCAGTGCCAAGTATTAAAGTTGTTGAAATGAATGAATGGTTAATAATTGTTTGTGCTGGGTTCCAACCTGTGCTCTTTAAGCGCCACACAGTAATTGAGATGTTTCAGATCTGATCAGCGTGATCTGTAATATCAAGATCTGTGCTGTTGCATCTTTCGGTTAGAGATCAAAAGCAAATACTGTGTCTAATGAGGTGAAAATACTGAAATGGCCAGAGAGCTGCAATGTTAAAGGTCCTGTGTGTAACATTTATGAGGCTCTATTAGCAGAGATGTAATAGAATATTCATAGGTATGATTTCATTAGTGGATAATCACTTGAAAATACAGATTTTTGTGTTTTCTTAACCTAGAATGAGCTGTTTTTATCTACAGAGGGAGCAGGTCCTCTTCTGTGGAGTTTGCCATGTTGAACTGCCATGTTTCTACAGTAACCCAGAATGGACAAACTAAACTGGTTCTAGATGGGACCTTTCCTTCATGGCCACTGTTTATCCTACATTCATGGAATGGGGGGGTGAGGCAACAGGGTTATAATCTACAACTACACGGCTAGATGCCACTAAATCTTACTCACTGCTTCCTTAATACTGGGAAACAGCATATTTTCTCTCAATGAAAACATACAAACTACATGCATACAAATTCGGTTGTGTGCGATTCTTTGTTTTTCTTTGTACTGAAGATAAACAGAAAATCATGTATTATGTAGTATTTATTTACTATATTCAGTAGTTAAGAAGACTTTTATAAAAAAAATAAAAAAAAATTCTAAAACATTAATTTAAAAGTTTCTAAGTTTGAGCTTATTTCAGGGTTAACCTCCATCACCTTTTCTCTAGCTGCTGGTAAAGAAAACTGTGGAGCTCTGCTTGGTTCTTGATAAGCTGTAGCATTCGTTTTAAGTGTAGCTCCATACTGAATGTTCCCTGGTACATTCATGGCTTGTTAAAATAGATAGTCTGGTCTGGATGCTCAGACATTCCTCATAGACAGAGATAGTCAGATGGAGTGACTCTCTTCTGTTTGCATATGTATTGACTGAGTTTTTCTGTTAAAGATCACACAGATATTGGGGCCAACCCCCCTTTCTTTTCTTTTAGTTTTTTGCTATTTATTTACCTTCAGAGGCATTTTTCCCACTTGTCCCTGTTCATTTCTGAGCGTGACCTCAACCCAGTAACCCCTTTACGCCACCATCTGATTCCACCATACACTACCTCAACCCCCTCCACCACTCATTCCCCCACTCACACACATGCCCACACAGACATTCCCATCCAAACAATTCACCCAGTCCCAGAGATTCTTTTTTTTTTATGCTTCCACAAGCCTTAGAGATAATGCACTGCCAACCCTGACATCTACAGACACACCAAATCCCCTGAGAAGTTGGTCTGACATGTGACAAACATGTAAACAAGCTACACACAAGGCTTATTTAGAATCCGATGTGTGCTAAAATGACTTGTGAAAACAAGGAACGCCTGAGGCCAGTGGCTCTGGCTCTGCCTTTGTTTCTATCTGTCTCTCTTCAACCATGTCTTTATTTATTTTTCTGACTCTCTGCCTCTCTTTTCTAGCTAGAGAGACAGACGATAATTATTGAAAAACAGTGATAGACAGATAGCTTATTTCCATTCTTGATTTGGAGCAGATGAAACCTGAAGCACCAAAGCCTTCATTAGAGCCTGCTCTGAATGGATTAACATACTGCATCCTTGCTAACATGTGCACTAAATGTCATCTTCCTATCTCTCCACATGCTGCTGTGGACCTTGACCCTCCCAACATCATCAGGAGTCAGTCCAAGGTAAAGGCGCACACACACAAACGCAGAGACATTTTTAACACAATTACATGCTTATGAATCATCTCTGTGTTAAACAAAGGAACTGCTGTATTTATTTGGCTCAGTTTGGAGTATGTGTGCAACTGTACAGGCAGTGATACAAAGTAATGTCTGTAGAGCCGTTTTTGCCAGAAGAGTTTTGTTTAATTTATTAACTTTTAACCCTCTAGGAATACTTATTGCTTGGAAACCTTTGAACATGTATCTGGCTGTGCTGTTCACTTTACTGCATATCAGTATTTCCCAAGAAGCACTTTTCTTTCTGTCATCTGAGATGTTCCCATAGTGCTACATTAACCACATGACACTTAAACTCCACTATGTTTGTGTATGTCAAAAGTCCTTTTGTATCTAACTTTGTTCCTCAATTTAGAGCTAATTGAACAAACATAGTAACTGGTAATATAGGTAATATCTAAACCATATGTCATGTAATAATTTTTTAATATTTCTTAATATTGTAATATTGCTGTGTTAATTGACCATGTACTTATATCGTTTGTGTGTCTCATACTGCCACTGTTATCTCTTCCTAGGTTTTTGCCTATGATTACTGTTTCTGGTCCATGGACGAGACCGATAAGGAAAAATTTGCAGGTTAGTTTAATTACAGTTCCATTTCACATTATAAAAACTTTTAACATTTCATCATTAAAATGCCAAACAAAATATTCAAATTACTTGTGTGTGTGTCTTCAGGTCAGGAGGTGGTCTTCCAGTGCCTTGGGGAAAGTCTTCTCCGCAACGCCTTCCAGGGCTACAATGCCTGTATCTTTGCCTATGGACAAACTGGTAATGTACCATGAGACGCTTCACTATTGTGGGGTCAAGACGATGTGGATATATTTTTATAACAGAGCTTGTTACATAGCTACATGAGTTCAACAGAATATGTGAACAATTTCTCTTTGCCCTCATTAATATAGTGCCCTAAAGCTTTTCATATAATGATTCAGAGAATGTCCTTGTAGCTATGTTGTGGCAGGAAGGTTGAATAGCCTCTTTTCTCTCCAGCATGAACAAAATACCAAAGCTTAAAGCTAACAGACCTGCACAATGTTAACAAAACCATCTAAAACTGATGACATAAAAGTTTACTTTTATGATGCCCTAATGTTCCAGTTGTTTGCACTGTCAAAGGTGTTAATTGAATGAATGAATTTATGGTGTTTTAGTGAAATACATTATATTCAGAGATGTTCCTAATATTCTGCACTCATCATGTATGTAAATGGGAAGAAGGAAAAACATATGGTGCAGTCTAGTACAACAACACCTTTACCTCAGTAATAAACATGTTATAGAATTCACACATTTTTCACAATGTGAAGAAAAACTGAACATTATAAACTTTGTAAAGGTAGAGCTGTGTATTAAATTGAATAGATGTACCTAATAAACTGGCCTCTTTGTGTATAGAAGGTTGTTTTAATAGTAACAACTTGTGTTTACATCAGCTGTTACTGTTACTCATGAGGCCATTTTCACTTTTCAGCAAATTACCTGTTTCAGTTGACATTGTTTGTATGTGTTGTTACCAGGTTCAGGAAAGTCATACACCATGATGGGTTCAGGGGACCAGCCTGGTCTGATTCCCCGGCTGTGCAGTGCTTTGTTTGATCGAACCCAGAAGGAACAGCGGGAGCAGGAGAGCTTTACTGTTGAGGTGTCCTACATGGAGATCTACAACGAGAAGGTCCGAGATCTGCTTGATCCCAAAGGGTATGTGCTCAACTTAATCTTCTAACCCTTTTATGAAAGGAAGGATCATTTCTTTCCCTCTGTATGGCATAGTGGTTCTGGTAAGTTCTCAAGACACTTTGACTGCTGCCTGTGTGTTTACGTTCACTGGTCCAAGACTTTAGTAGTATACAGAATGTACTTCTTGAAGATTCTTCCCAGTAAAATTGTTCCACTGAGGAGATGAGATTGTGGCTTTTACTGTGAAGCTGCAGTTAAGTTGCAGTCACTGGTGGCAATTTAATTACCAAGTGCAAGCCTTGGGGATATATTTGGGATGAATCTGTAGAACAGTCATGGACTGTGGCATCAACCTTAAATTCTTGTAGATATTGTCTGTCTCTGACAAGTTAGTCTTATCAGGCTAGTCTAGTCTAGTCACCTAGTTTAGGTGAACAATCAGTATTCAAAGTCATTTTTGTTATAATCTCAAGTCAGTTGGTAGAACGGAGAAAGTGACTGGTGGATCCTGGTACCACCAGCTGCTGTGGACTGCAGTTAAAAAGATCACTCTTGTGCCCTGCCGTCCCTGATGGAGTCCAGTTCATGTCCAGCAGGTCAGCAGTAAATCAGGAGCACAGGCCTGTGTCTGCAGCCCCAGACATCCTAACCTTTGACCTTCACTCACTATTTGACCTTTTAACCTCAGTAAAATGGGCCAAAGAAAAGCAGACCATCTGACAGCCATATGGGCTTTGCTGTGGAGCGGAGGATGATAAAGTTCTCAAGCCTGAAGCAAGCTTGAATCAGGGTCAGAGAGCTAGGTGCTAACAAAGTCTCTATGAACTGGGGAAATTGTAGTGGTGTCCAGAATCAGCTGAGCCTATATTTCCACTCCTGCTAATACATCAGATGAATAGTAATTTACCAAGAGTGACCATGTTGTTTGGCTGTGTTTGAAACCTGCTTTTATTTCCTGTCCAGGGGCAGACAAACTCTGAGGGTGAGGGAGCATAAAGTTTTGGGTCCCTATGTGGATGGCTTGTCTCGACTAGCTGTGGCCTGCTACAAGGTAAAAATATCGTCTATCGTGGATTTAGTTTGCTTTTAAGCTGGTTTATTGGCACACTCATCACACCACTATGTTACATTCTGGCTGCCTCATCCGTAGCAGTCACTCTGACCAGTGTGTCCCTGTCAAGTAGACATGTGAGCAGAGCATCTTACTTGCATTCCCTCTCACTTTGATCTTTAGACTTTGAGGATTTGCATCAGTGCTGGTCACATGATGGCTGCAGTCTGCTTAGTAGTCCCACTAATCACACTGGAAAGGGGCTAGTTATAAAAATCTGAATTAATCACATTCTGTAGTTTATATTTGGCTTTCTAGGAGACTTGAACACACTTCACCAATTGAAGTTGTCACTAAATATATAAACATGCATAGAATCTCCAACCAAATACATAGTACTGTATAATATTCTTCAGTCTTAAAAGGTAACTGTGCATGGAGAATCAATTTTATAAAATCGTATTATTCTTTATTTATTTATTGTTTGATTACTGTTATTTTTACAGGACATTGAGGTTCTAATGTCAGAGGGGAATAAATCCCGGACTGTCGCTGCTACCAACATGAATGAGGAGAGCAGTCGATCGCACGCTGTCTTCAACATCATCCTCACACACACACTCAAAGACTTGAAGTCTGGGGTAAGATAATATCACAAACATACACAGGCTGGAGTAGGGCAGAGTTTTAACACACACACAAACGTGTGCGTTAGCCACTTTTAAGGGAAACTTGTAATAATAGAGATCATAATTAATTTTCCTCAGCGTTTTTTTATGGTGTCCCTTCCATACGTTATTATTTCATCCTAGTTTTCACATCATTAGACATAAGCGCCTGTCCTCTCTCACCTTCTGTCGACCCATAGTCCATCTGCTTCATCTAACACAGGCGAACATGTACTAATGTTTTTTCCAGTGGTCATTTCTAATCCTCAATCAATCAACCACTGCAGCCGGCGGGAAAAAAGGTAGTTACAAAATTATGTCTGCTCAGCTGTCTGACCAGACAATCCAAAAAAAGTCCTAAATTACTAATTCTCCATCCTCATTGACCCACTTACCACCCCTGCTCCTTGCTCTTATTTCCAGACCAACTTGCCACCAGCGTAAGCTGTTAATAATTCACAGGTGTGACTTTGAGTTTGTCAGTTGATACAGCCTGCTCTGTTTACAAGGCACACCCAGAGTCAGTCACTAAGTTGTTCAGTCAGTCAGTAGGTTCATCAAGGAAACCGCTAATGCTAGTCTGTGTAGTCAGTGAGTGAATCACTTAGCCAACCCGTCCTGTATCTGGATGAGTCAGTTCTTTATTGTCTTTGTTGCCTTATTTTATTGTCTCCTAATTCTAAACACAAAAAAATGAAATGGACAGAAAATGACTAATTAGTTTGCTTTCTCACTCCTCTTTGACCACTACAAGCCCCAATAGACCAGATGTCAGCTCATTTTGGTGCAATTGGAGTTATATTCTGATCCGCCTGGTTTTATGTTCTACTTTTTGCTGCTTTGCGTTACTCAGCAGTTATGAGAGATGCTGCTTTAAAAGTACAGAAGAAGTGAAAGGAAGACAGGCAGAGCTGCGTAATACCTTTTTAATGCTTTAAAACAATAGTTAATCCTCGTACCGTCAAACAATGTTTCAAGGCAGGGAGAAACAGTACCCAGTAGCCCGCAGAGTCTGTGCATGTAAAGAACCACATATGTTTCTTGATTTTGTGTTTCCCATTTCTAAATCTATAAAAGAGGGAAAGTGATGATATAAATATATATTGGTGACTTAGAGCAACGATTAGACTACTGTCAGAAAAATAAAATGTAACTGTTTTGATAATCTGTTAAACAACTGTTGTTTATCAAGCAAACTGCCACACATAATCTGGTGTCAGCTTCTTACAAAGCAGGATTTGCTGATTATCTCTGTTTTATATGAATTACAGAATTAAATATTTTGGTGTTAGTCAGACAAAACAAGTAACTGCTTATTATAGACTAGAAGATTAATCAGTTAATAAGACATTACTAGATTAATCGGTAATGAAAATAATCATAAGTTGCAGCCTTAAAATGACTGTACAATTCATTTACTAACTCAAATAACTGGATTTAGTGTTAAGTTACACCTAAATTATATGCTGAACTTCTGCTGTAATGTATAATGATGTAAAATTGAATCAAATTGAATCTTTCATTTAGTTTCACTGCACAGGTATCTTGTTGGTTTTGTCTGTAGTACTTTTTATTCTATTGCCAGAATCCCCTACAGAAAGCCCACTAATATCATGAATATATAGTATTGCACATGCATATAAATGTGGACTTTACCATTGCTCTTTAAATATTTGCGCTTAAGAGAAAGAAATGTTATTTAATTACTGTTTTTTTTCAGCCAAATGTTTAGTTTTACTGACTTGCCTCTAGCTCATTGGAGCACATCTGTGCCCCCTAATGGCTCAGCCAGTGTTGTGAGTGGAGGCACGGGATGAACGGACAGGTTAGAAAAAGAAAAAAAACTCCTATGCCTACCGCCACCTATGACACACAGCAAAATCACCCTGTGCTGGATGACTCGTTCTGAAAATCGACAGCTCATTGCAGGATTTCCTCTTACTAAATGTGCCCTGCTCAGACTTGTCAACGAAACACTCCAATCAAAGTTCAGTCAGTTTGAACTTTGGCCCCATTTGCTACCAACTCTCAGTTGTTTGCTGATTAGTCTTACTCTTCCTTGCTAAATCCAGTCTAGATTTGGTAACCTTGTAGTATAATGCAGAGTTTTGTTTTCCAATGATGACATCTGCTACATTGTCTTACCATGTGTAGTGTCTGTTGATGCCCTGACACTTGTTCTGTGCTGGTACCTTAAAGCTACTGTCAAGTAGGCTGGCGAGCTGATGTTCATCCTGATGATCAGATTACTGATCCAGGTATCATCTGTCTTGGTTACAGAATCTCTTATTAAGCAAGAAAAATGCTGCAGAGGTTGGTATGTCCTCCTTTTCACTATTTAATCATCCGGCAACATGTTAAGAATAGGACCAAAGAATAGAATTGCGGAGACATAGACATGCACATTGAAAAACACAGGTGTTTATTTCCAAGTCTGACATCAGCACGTAACGAGACCTTCACTGTTTGGTACAATCTAGTCATTGGTCATTGCATTAAGGAGCCATGATTATTGAATTACCCTAAGTTATAATTTCCTATTGTATCTGCTCGTGTTCAGTCAACAGCTTTGCCCTCCTCTATCTGGCTTTCCAGTACGTATTCACAGTTTCAGGCCCTATTTATAAAAAAATAAATTAAAAAAAGAGGAGAAGATGTTAGTCTATTTTTGGATCTTATTTGCTCAGTGTTCCAGATAGAAATCTCTTGTTTGTTTAATAATTTGCTTTACTCTGGGGGGTGGGGGGTTGAAGCAGTGCTGGTCTGAGGCGGATCTGTATCAGTGCAGTTGAGGTTGATCTTAATCAGTTAGTCTCGTGACCAGGTCTTTTGAGGACTTTGTGTTTTGGGTTTGCTTTACCTGGGATTTTAATGTGTTGTGGGATGTGTGATGAAAATCTTTTTTAAGATGTTTAAGATCAGACCTGTCCCTTTCTCAAACCAGTGTTGCCTTTATGTGCACAATACAATACACTTCACTTGTTTCTTAGATGCATGATGGTGCATTGAGCTTTGTCAGAACACTTCTTAGCTTACAGAAGTCCCATGGTTGAACAGGTTCACTGTAGACAGATAAATGACTGCAGCTGCTGATGTGCTGCTTTCGCTGTGCGGCAGGTGAAGATCAGGTGTCACATTCAGCCTTGTCAGCTACTGATCTGTCACGCTTGGCTAGGAGTGGATTTGTCCCAGTACAGATGGCGATGTGATATCCACATCTTCAACAGCCTACAACAGGAAACAGAAGGAACCTGTCAACAACAGACTGAAGGATGAGAATGTCTAACAGAGCATTTTGCATCACCTGGTTGGTAGAATCACAAGAATCACAGAAAGCATAGAGAAAGTCCTCTGAACAAGAGTGGACCAAATCATAAACTGTAGCTAAACAAACTCGAACCTCATTAATGAGGGGAGGTTTCTGATAAAGCCAAACACCTTGTTCTTTATTTCTGGAGTGTCTTGCTTGCAAATCAAAGTAGTGCTCTGTTGAAAGCTGACGGAAACTCAGCTGGGATTGCCTTGACGTAGTGCTTCCATGGTGATTAATGAGCCATCAGGGTTTTTCAGACCTCATGAGGATGTATGGTTATATTTCGTCACATATTAAGAAAGAGAACAAAAGCTGGTTGCATTTTGCAGAGGGTAAAAGTGAAAAGCGGCCCATGTCCGGCTGCATTGCCACTTTTGTATTGGACTGTTGCAATTGACAACAAGACAAACAAAAAATTCCCTAATGGTGGTGGCATTTATGACTATGACTGTGAGTAACATGTCATTCTGAAAGGGTTTTTATGTAACACATTGTGAATAATATGGCATCATTTTCAATGCAATACTGCACATAGTTTGTGCAAAGCCCATTTTTGGTGTAGAATTTAGCAAGGTGAAAAGCTGTCTTGTCAAAGGACAAAAATGTTGACAGAAAAATTTTAACAAATATCCACAAAATCCTGGAGTCTGGGTTTTGTTAATGAATAGTAGGGGGCCACTAATGTTTAAATAAAGAATATGCAAGTTGTCAATAATCAGACTTTAATCAGACTTTCTGTCTCTTTCTCTGTAGACAAGTGGTGAGAAGGTGAGTCGGTTAAGTCTGGTAGACTTGGCAGGAAGTGAGCGAGCAGCAAAGACTGGAGCAGCAGGTGAACGACTCAAGGAGGGAAGCAACATCAACAAGTACGCAAAAGCAGTTCAATACAGTTACATAAACTTGACCCACACAGAAACCCATGATTTGTGATCTGTTTTCCCAATCAGGTTGTTTATTCGAGTCTAAACCCTAAACTGTCTTACAGATGTATTCAGTGTCACTTTCTTTTGCAATAATTTTTTGTTGTCGTAACACTCCTGAGATGCATTTTTTGTCATTTGCACTTAGAGCTGTAGATGTGAAATAAAGCATATACTATTAAAATCTTCTAAAGCGTAGTATAATACTTAGTAAAGGTGTCTGGAAAAACCTGGTAAAAAGCTTTGAAACAAGCTTTTTGTTGAAAGCATCCCAACACATAAATGGATATATTCACACGCTAAAGGAACAAGGTGATACATAGTGATACCAAGCCTTAAACTGTGTTTGTGTTTTTCAGGTCTCTCACTACACTGGGCCTTGTGATCTCGGCGCTAGCTGAACAGGGAACAGCCAAGAACAAGAACAAGTTTGTTCCTTACAGAGACTCTGTTCTGACATGGCTGCTGAAGGTATACATATATTCTCCAGTGCATGTTCTTTACTTTCCTCTTAAGCACTGCTGTTTGACCATTTCTCCATGTCTTTCCTATCCCCCCCTGTTCCTGCATTTTTTGCATCTTTCTCCAGGACTGTCTGGGTGGCAACAGCCGCACGGCGATGGTTGCAACTGTGAGTCCAGCAGCAGACAACTATGAGGAGACTCTATCGACCCTGCGCTATGCAGACCGAGCAAAGAACATTGTGAACCATGCTGTTGTTAACGAAGACCCCAACGCTCGCATCATCAGAGAGCTCAGAGAGGAAGTAGAGAAACTACGAGTACAACTGACTCAGGCAGAGGTGAGATATCTGCAAAATCTTAGAAATCAGCATTTGGAAATGTATGTTTTCCCTGGCACTCATCTGCTTTTTTTTTTCTTCCAGTCTTTGAAGGCTCCAGAGCTGAAAGACCGTCTGGAAGAGTCCGAAAAGTTGATTCAAGAGATGACCATCACCTGGGAGGAGAAGCTTCGCAAAACTGAGGAGATTGCACAGGTAAGACGCCCAAGACTTGTAGAAGTTTGATTTTCTACATTTGATACTTCGCCCAAGCACAAATTAAAAGTATCAGATCATACACTGTGTAAATATGATGTTTGTCTCTGTGTTTGCAGGAGCGTCAGAAGCAGTTAGAGAGTCTGGGTATTTCTCTCCAGTCTTCAGGGATTAAAGTTGGCGATGATAAGAGTTTTCTTGTCAATCTTAACGCTGATCCTGCCCTCAATGAACTTCTGGTGTACTACCTGAAGGTACACACATACTAACCTCATCATGCTTTACTTATTACCCTGTTATTTAATTTCCCTGTTTTTACTTGTCGATCCAATTGCTCTTTAAACATCCCAACTCTGCTGTCATCACAATCTTTACAAACGGTTTAGATTTATAGAAGCTGAAGTTTCATTTTCATAACTAACTGGCTGAGTAGGACTCTGTTGTCATCTGACTGATAGTAAGTGCTTGTGTTTTGTGTGTTGGGAAGCCTCAAGACAGAAATTAATTTAATTATACTAAATTTGAAAGCGCAGCGTTCACAAAAATAAATAAATAAAATAAAATTGTTGTTTGATTGGCCCGATTAGGAAAAACAAAGTCTCCTCAAGATAATCATTTCAGGGGAAAATAAAGGTCAAGTCAGTTGTAATTGCACTTACAAACTTGCGTGTAGGCTTTTACTTTACTAACTGGTCCGATTCTCAGCTGATAACATGTAGTAACATCTGGAATGCTGTGTCTCAGGAACACACAAAGGTGGGCTCAGCAGACTCTCAGGACATCCAGCTGTGTGGGATGGGTATCCAGGCAGAGCACTGTGTCATCGACATTGCAGCAGATGCTGCCGTCATCCTCACCCCCCATCGCAATGCTAGGTAAGGAACACCAACATCACAGTCCCTAAAGACCAGGCTGAGTGATAAGAATAAAACGTGGCACTGACAGTGCCTGGATTAAAAGTTCCTGTACCACTGGAGACATTGTTCCATCAGTTTGAAACAGTAAGCCCTAATGTCACTGCTGTCTTGTGTTATAGGACATGTGTTAATGGTTCTCCAGTAACCAGTGGTCTGCAGCTTCACCATGGTGATCGAATCCTCTGGGGAAACAACCACTTCTTTAGGTAATTTCATAACGATTCCAAATTTGTATAATGTTTTCTTTTTTGGATACTCAATCATACTTTTCATACTTTTTCAAATAAGAGAATATTACTCAGTATTTCCTTAAAAAATCAGTTTACATAATTTGCACGTGCTTTAAATATACATACATAAATTTTTTTTAATCTTCATTTTTACATATTTTATTTTAGTTTTTATTTTAACAGTTTTTCTTATGTATCTAAGATATTACCTTATCACTCATGATGATGTTACAGCAAATTAACCAACTGATACCAAAGATTATAGTTAATTACCTGGACGTCCTACCTGCAGGATCAACCTGCCTAAGCGGCGCTCTCGCGGAGCTGAGGATGAGGAGGGCGAGGGTGGTGTGATGAAGAACAGTGGCAGCAGTGAGCAGCTGGATGCAGATGGGGACACTGCCAGTGAAGTGTCCAGTGAAGTCAGCTTTTCATATGAGTTTGCCCAGACAGAGGTCATGATGAAGGCCCTCGGCAGCAATGGTAAGGAGACGTTAGGAGAATGAAATATCCGTATTCTGCATCATCGGTTAGTTTAGTTTCCTGTCTGTGTTTTCTGACTCCTCCTATCTTTTGTCCTGTCAGACCCCATGCAAGCAGTCCTTCAGTCTCTGGAGAGGCAGCATGAAGAGGAGAAGCGTTCTGCTCTGGAGCGTCAGAGACAAATGTACGAGCAGGAACTCCAGCAGCTCCGCAAGAAGCTGAACCCAGACCGTCTGTCCACAGGACCATCTGGAGGGTCAGCGTCTGGCCAGCAAGGTCCGGGACAGCAGTCTCACTACCGCAGCCTGGAGAGACTCAGTATGGGAGGGATGAGTCATTCAACTAGCGCTCAGAGCAGACTGAGGCAGTGGAGTGAGGACAGGTGGGAGTGTCTATGTCTTTATGTGTACCAAGAATAGAAATGCGCACACAAAATTAGAGCCTTTCTACTTCCGTCTATTGCACATCCATTTGGATATGAATGCAAACTGAACACCTTCTCCTCATATTCCCTCATCCTTTCCTCTGTCTCCCCTTCTTCTCTGCCACCTCTTCTCCTCTTTCAGGGAGGCGGTGTTAGTGAGGAGTCTGCGGCGGTTGAGGGAGCAGATAGTGAGGGCAAACCTACTGGTGCAAGAAGCCTGTTTCATTGCAGAGGAGCTGGAACGACACACTGAGTACAGAGTCACTCTGCAGATCCCATCAGACAACCTCAACGCAAACCGCAAGGTCTCACACACACAAATACGTAAACACTTGTAGACAGATTTCCTGTCGTCTGTATTTATCACAGCCAATTCTCTAAATACGTGTGTATGTGTGTTTGTGTGTATGTAGAGGGATGCAGTGCTCAGTGAACCAGCAATTCAAGTTCGACGTCGGTGTCGAGGGAAGCAGATTTGGAGTCTGGAGAAGATGGAGAACCGCTTGGTTGACATGAGAGAGCTGTACCAGGAGTGGCAGGACTACCACGTCCATCACCAAGACAACCCTGTGAGTTAGCTTAACAAATCTGTCAGTAAACAAGAGTACACAAATACAAGAATGAATACAGTAAACATTAGCACTGACCTAGAACTGTAGCTAACATGCTCAAACATTTTATTAAAATAAAGTTGTATTCCTTGTTATTTTTTCTCCTTGTTCAGGTGATGCGCTCATATTTCCGTAGAGCAGACCCATTCTTTGATGAGCAGGAAAACCACAGTCTGATTGGTGTTGCCAATGTCTTCCTTTCCTGTCTCTTCTACGATGTCAAGCTGCAGTACGCTATTCCCATCATCAACCAGAAGGGGGAGGTGGGTAGTCACAGATTTGTTGATAATTCCTGTCTTTTTCAGAGCTTTTATTAGAGACTCTAGACTTACTGTATTATGAATTTCTTCAATGTAGTTTGTTTTGTGGATTCTGAATTTCAGCAGCTGCTTCTTTTGAGATTTTACTTGAAATCCCCATGACACCCATACAGAGTGACTCAGTGAGATTAGAAGTTCAAAGTTATTCCTTCCTGGAGATCAGAGTCATAGGTTACATGATATTCATATGATAATGTTGCCATAATGCTAGTATAATAGACAAGATGTACAAAGGAAATGCCAGGTCTATGTTCACAATACCACTGCAAATGGTAGATGAGTAGCTCTGGAGTGGACTAACTAACTACTTACATTCACAGACACACATTCTATGGTTGGCGTAAAGGTTTTATATGCTTTCCCTCTCTGTGGTCAGGTGGCAGGGCGTCTTCATGTGGAGGTGGTGAGGGTTGGAGGAGGGTTGGAGGACAACATGGCTGGAGGAGATGAATCTGACAACAACCAAGACACTGAAGTCCAGGATCGCAAACTGGTCTGCATGGTAAGACAGACAGACCATACATTATCTCGGTTACGCACACCTGGTTCAGTCGGTAGTTTAAAAAGTGTGTTTAGTCTACTTTAATTTTCAGTATACACTCAGTTCAAACTAATGCAGTGTAATGCAACATTCCTGCCATATATCCTACCTGCATGAAGGTTATAATGTTCAGTTTTTGTTAATAGTGTTTTATTATTAGTTTAAGGTTGAAGAAGATATGTTTAAATTACTTTTGACCTGTTTCCCCTCTACAGATTAAGATTCTGCAGGCCACTGGTCTTCCTCAGTACCTGTCCAACTTCGTCTTCTGTCAGTATGCATTCTGGGACCAGCCTGAGCCCATCATCGTGGCTCCTGAAGTAGACCCATCTTCTTCTTCGCCCAGCACCAAGGACCCACACTGCATGGTTGTGTTTGACAGCTGCAAGGTGAAGCCTGGGAGGGAGGAGGTGGACGACAAGTCTAGATTCAATGCTTTAAAGAACTCTGTATGGATTTGTTCTTGTGTTAAACTGACACACAGGGGGTAGGAAAGCAAATAAAATAAAAAATAAAAGGTGGTGTTGGGGTGGGGGGGGTTCGGATATAAGTTGTTGGTGTAAGACTGATCTTTCATTTGGTCCTGTAGGAGCTGGCAGTGTCAGTAACAGAGGATTTCATCGAATATCTGACTGAAGGGGCAGTTGCCATTGAGGTATATGGACACAGACAGGCTGATGCAGGAAGAAACCCCGCCCTGTGGGACCTCAGCATCATCCAGGCCAAGACACGCACACTACGAGACAGGTAGACAAACACACACACACACACAAACACAAACACAAACACCAACACACACTCACCTCTGACTCTTAATTTTGCTTGCAAGAGTAGATTTCCAGTAACTACTGAAACAACAATGCTCTTGTGTTGCCCAGATGTACCAGTAATGTTGGTTTTTGTAGGTGGAGTGAGGTAACACGTCGCCTGGAGCTGTGGATTCAAATCCTGGAGATAAACGAGAATGGAGACTTTGTCCCTGTGGAAGTGGTTCCTGCTAGAGATGTGCGGACGGGGGGAATCTTCCAGCTTCGGCAGGTAGGGATAGGCCCTAGCACAACCACAACCTGGTCACAGCAGGAGCAACTAGCAAGCTTCAGCTGAAAAGCCAACTTCTAAATATTTTCAAAGTAATGTCCTGTCTTCTAAACATTTTGCCCTGCCCCCTCCCCTTGCTCATCTCCAGGGTCAGTCGAGACGAATCCAGGTGGAGGTGCGTTCAGTTCAGGACTCAGGCACCATGCCTCTGATAGCAGAAATACTGCTTGCAGTGTCAGTGGGTTGTGTGGAGATCAGAAATACCACGGCAAACCAGGAAGGAGATGAGATGGACAGTTATCAGGTAGACCAGTTTAATACTTAGTTTAATACTAGTTCTCTCTCTTTGGCTTACATTGACTTACAGGAGAACTGAAGACGATTAACTGACTGGTTTGTTGTATAGGAAAGAGACCTGGAACGTTTGCGTGGGCAGTGGTTAGCTGCTCTCACCAAGAGACAAGAATACCTGGACCAGCACCTGCAGAGCCTGGTCAGCAAAGCAGGTAATGCACAAGCACACATTCAGAGGTCTGTAACACTACCTTCTGTTCGTGTAACTCTCAGAGTTGTTGTTAACTACAGCTTGTAGGCATCTTCAGTATAGACCTTTTTCACAGCAGCCATTTTGACATGAAATAGTAAGGTAAAAACTGTTGTTACCAATGAAACTCATTAAGGTGCTGTTCCATTAAGTGTAGCAGAGACTTTCTAGTGAGCTAACATGCACAGTAGCAACACCTTAACTCTGTTTGATATTGATTAAGGTTCTATTCCAATCAGGTCAATGGTCCTTATTATCCTACTATTTCATGTCAAAATGGCTGCTGTGAGAAAGGTCTTTTTTGCTAGTTAAATTTAGGAGCTTTTAAGTGTAGGAAGTGTTTAATGTTCAAGTGTTGCTGTGTCCACAGAAAAGACAGAGGATGACACAGAGAGGGAGGCCCAGCTGCTGGAGTGGCGCTTGACTCTGACAGAGGAGAGAAACGCTGTCATGGTGCCCTCTGCTGGTAGCGGCATTCCTGGAGCACCTGCTGAATGGTAAGACGCATGGAAGGGTGTGTGTGTGTATGTGTGTGTGTGTGTGTGATTTGAATATTTTATATTTCCTTATGAATGCCTCAACTTTACTTCTGTAAGGCAAAAACATGTATATATGTTGATCCCAGTGTGTATTGCATGTTTGTTTACAGGGTCCCTCTGCCAGGCATGGAGACTCATATTCCTGTCGTCTTCTTGAACCTCAAACGTATGTTAGTTATTTGCTGAATAATATATGCTTGCTCGCATGTGTTTCTACTCATGGGCTGATTTATGATGTTTTCTCTTGGTTTTCCCAGCTGATGACCTCAGCTCTCCAGACCAGTTTGAGGTTCCTGAGGCTGGAGGATGGGATGCCACCCTGAGTGGAGAGGATGAGGACGATTTCTTTGACCTACAGATTGTCAAACACTATGATGGAGAGGTGAGGATGGAACTGCATGAGGTATTTTTCCAAGGAATTCCTGGAGTCCATTTTGGGAGCTGTTTTATTAACCGGTTGTGATTTTCCGACCCTGCAGGTTAAAGCAGAAGCATCATGGGATTCTACTGTCCATGAATGTCCCCAGCTCAGTCGTGGCGGAGCATGGCCGGAGCAGCGAGTGTACCTGACAGTTCGGGTGGTGGTTCAGCTCAGCCACCCTGCCGACATGCAGCTGGTCTTGAGAAAGAGGATCTGCGTCAACGTGAACCCGGGTCGCCAGGGTTTTGCCCACAACTTTCTCAGAAGGATGTCTACCCGCAGCACCATACCTGGCTGTGGGGTCACCTTTGAGGTGGTCTCCAACATCCCTGGGGTAAGGCCAGGGGAAAATATTAGGCATCTAGTGTTTTGAGGAAGAACACCTCAGGAGCAGGATTATTAAACACAAATCTTATGATGTTTTGTCCGATCAGGACGCCCCTGGGTCGGAGGACCGGGAGATGCTGGCACGGCTCGCTGCCAGCGCACACAACAGCCAGTCAGCTGATGAAGAGGCTGCAATTGAGAAATACCTCCGCAGTGTCCTCAGTCTGGAGAACATCCTGACGCTGGATAGACTCAGACAGGTAGATGGAGAAACTGGTACAGATTTAGACGGAGTCAGGTAGATAGAAATGATATCCATTGATTGATTCAGTGACACAGTATATGTAAAATTTTAACACACTCAGCAGCCTAGGAGATTAATGGCATGTCAAAATATTACATTAATCAATGTTGTAATTTGTCTGTTTTCCACTTTATTCTTTTTGTGCTTTCTTATATGTTGAAAATGTCCTCTTTCTGTGTGTGTGTTTTAGGAGGTGGCAGTGAAGGAGCAACTGACAAGCAGAGGGAGGAGCAGCAGACGGAGCCTAAGTTCACCTTCTGTCCACAGGGTAAAACACAAGTACAATTCCCTTTATAGTGTATAATATATTTCTTTCAATTTACCCTCTCTCTGTCCATCCATTCATCCTCAGCTGTCTGGAAGCAGACAAGACCTGTCCACAACCTGCCTGGTAGACGACAAGGTGACACACACTTTTACTTCTTGTCTCCACATGTTGACTGTTTTCAACAACAAAATGTTCAAAATGATCATTCGAATATTTTGTGATTATTTGTGGTTCCAGTGGCAATTATTAATCTGATGCAACTACATAACAAAGAAGACCTAACTGCCGCATAGGGTTTAAACTACCAAACTTTAGTGAACTGAATTCATATATAAATGGTATTACATTTTATATACATATTGTATTCATATTTCATTATTTACAAACCATTGTGTTGTCATCTGTCTGTTTCTCAGGGTCGATGGGAGAGTCAGCAGGATATCTTCATGCCATCTCAGTTTCACCGCACCCTCCCCCGGCCCGCCTCTTCCCCTTCCAGCTACTCCACATCCCCTTCTTCATCCCCAACTCCCTTCGGCATGACGCCCCCACAAACCCAGGAACCGGAGCAAGGTAAACCTTCTCCCTTTAACCCCCACTGTCTGATCTCTCCTCTTTTCTCTTCTCTACCATCAATTCCTTTTCATTTTTCTTCCATGCTCTAAACTCTTACTCTCCTGACAGTTCTTTCATCCTCCTCTCTACTTGTTTCCCAACGGGTTTATCCATTTCTACTATATGTGCTCATGTCAATAACGCTTTGGCAGACTACTTACTTTGTTTTACCTCTTCTCCTTTTGTTTAATGTTGCCAAAATTCTGCAGTTCACTACACAATCCCATGTGTCATTGTTTACATTAATAAATGCTGGGTCTCCACTTGTTTCCTTTCTTCCCAGCTAGAGTGACGTGTAATATCTGTCTTCCTTCCTGCTCTTTCTGGTGTTGCTTACATCCATTTCTGTAACCTGCTTCGACTAACGCAGTGTGAACTTCTCCTCATTTCATCAGTCTGAATATTTCTGTCTCATTGTGATTTCTTGCCCATGTCAGAATTCATGCCACTGTGACGTGCTTTAGATTAATTCTGTTCAAAAATGAACAGAATTAATAATTTCAATTTTAATTTCTGTTTCACAATCCAGTGATTAGAATGTTTGGTTTTTTTAATCACATTGTAATGACTAAATCAGCCATCTGTGTGTCAGTGGCCAGCTGATGCCTTCTTCTGTCTGTCTATCACTGTGTTGGGATTTTTTGCCATTTCCTGGACTCGCTTTCAACTTCTTGTCTTAATCTTTCACACCTCCTCTACCTCCCACACCTACTCTTCTTTCCTTGGTTCCTTCCTCTCTTCTGCCTCAACCTCCTTCTCCTCTCTCACCCCTCCACCCCCTCCCCCAGGGCGTTCAGGACTTGCTGCCTCTTATCTTTCAGTTAAGGCGCTGGTTCCTCAGATGCCCAAACTGCTCAAGTCCCTGTTTCCAGCGCGAGACGACAAGAAGGAGCTGAGACCTTCGCCACACAGCCAGCAGGTCAGCAGAGATGATGTTAGTAGCGCTCTGTGTGACTGTGGAGTAGGGCGGGATAAGACTTCACGTATATGATTAATAGTCATTCCAACTTGTAAATTTCAAGCTCTGGCAGCGAGGCACTAATTCTTGTTTTCTTGTCATGACCTTGGTTGTTGTTACTCAGCAGCATGTTCCTCGCATCTTGACATCAGGAGGGGACGACAGCCGAGTCAAGGTGGAAACGGTAAGATTGTCCCTGTCCACTTTTCCGTTGTTTTCTGCAAACTGCAGCAACATAAGTGTACATGTATGTTAGATATGGTTTGTTTACTAACAGCTTTTTATGTATTTACTTATTAGTCCAAAGGGCGACTGTGTTAGTTGACCAATATGTGACTGCCATTGTCACAAGAAAACATTAGCAGATGATGCAAATGGTCCTTCAACATATATTTGTGCTGCACATAACAGCATTAATAGAATCTGATTGGTCCAAAGGGTGATTGTACCATTTTTGTGGAAGTTGATTTTTATTGCTGATTATTGTTTTGTTGTTTTGCCTTGTCTGCATGCTCTCGTCTGTCCATCTGTTCCTGTGGCATCCGTTTGTTTCCTGTAGACTGCTATTCTACGGCCCCAAACCAAAGACAGACGGGCAGAGTTCCCAGAAGTCCCTCTTCTTCCTGTGCATGACCCGCATGACACTACCCCCCTCAGCCCCCTCAGCCAGTCATCAAGCGGCTACTTCTCCAGTAGTGTTTCTACAGTTACCCTGTCTGACGTCCTCCAACCCTCCTCCTCGTCTTCCTCCCTCCTGGCTGCTGAGACTACGTTAACCACAACCCCCCAGCAGCTGGGTGCTGACAGGAACGATGTTGTGACCTCTCCTTCTCAGTGTGGCACCAAGATGGCCGTCGTCGCTCCACCTGCTTCCCACAGCTCAGCCAATCACAACAACGTGACTACCGAAAACTCCTTCTCTCAACACAAGCTAGTCAACTCAGGAGGAGGAAGTGAAGGCTTTGAGAGGCTGGAGATCTTTGTGGACGATGAAGAGCGTAGCCATGACGACGTACTGCCTGATTGGCTGACAGATGGGGCATATGTTACAGTAGGAAGCAATAAGGCCGGGACGGTGCGCTACGTGGGAATGACACAGTTTGCAGAAGGAGTGTGGGTGGGGGTGGAGCTGGACACCCCTGTAGGTAGGTACACAACTCAAAAGGATGACTTCACACAAATGACGCAAATACATGAGAAACCACTTCTGCGAACAAAAAGCCAAATAGAGTAATAAATGAATGTAATCTGCACAAAAGATGTACAGACGATGGAAGTAACAGTGATAATAACAGTGAGCAGAATACAGACAGTTCATTCAGGTAGGCTAACTCAGATAAAGGCTGCACCGAAGCACCAAACACTGGAGAGAGAAACTGCCTCCAGGCAGCGACAAGACCAAAAAGGTTACAGAAGGTTTGTTATTTTATAGTTTACTGTGTAAATAAATAAAAGAAAAGCATATAATAGCTTTGATGCAGGCATTTGTTTCTTAATGCAATGCAAAGCTATTTAATTAGCAAGCAGATTGATTTTAATAACTAATGTATTTGTAAGTGTGAACTGGGCACTGTATTATCAAAAAAAACACAAGTATCGTCTCAGGACTCTGTATCGACAGATGCTCAATATTAAATGAATCGGATCGGATCATGGGCATCCCTTCTATGTAGTACTTTTGTAATAAGCACAGATCATTTCTGAATTTCTGATGTTCCCTTGTTAATATACTGCCTTTAATTGATGGAGCTGACTACAGTACAGTGCTTAATGACTTCTGATTGGTGGTGATGACCTTATTTTCTCCCTACAGGTAAAAATGACGGTTCAGTTGGAGGTCATCGATATTTCCACTGTAAACCGGGTTACGGGGTGCTGGTTCGCCCAGACCGTCTGTCATGCCGTGATCGGACCAGTCGGCGCACGGGAGAGTTCTCCGCTCCCGTCCACATCCCCGTCTTGCGCGGTGAAGCCATTGTTGCCCGCCGGGGGGAGAACCGCAAGTCCTGGAGCAGTTGAGACAGGGAAACTAGGTGCTGGATGGGAGAGATGAACTCCCCATAGCCCTCCTCCTCCTGTTTTTTTTCTCCTCCCAGCTATGCAACAGGCTCACACATCAAACATACTGCCTACCCTCCTATAGTTTGAAACTACATTCACTACATCCATTCACAGGAAATGGATAAAATAGAATGAAGAGAGTGAAGAGACCATTCAGAACGAAAGCAAGTAAGTTGATGAAAGACTATGCAGAGTATATAGAAGTCCGTGGAAGGACTATTTATCATGTGGGAAGATAATGCTAAATGAATGGCGGTCAATGGGAAGACTGCTAAGAGTGAATGGAAGTCAGTGCAGACTGTCGTATTTGGAGTGTCGGAGCTCTGTGGGGGTGTGGAAGGGACCCTGCAGGCTGGAAGATTTGCCTCAGAGATGCTTTCTGAGCTGATATACAGGGATGCAAACTAGTCACACAAGTCACTTTTTTTTATTTTTCTGCAAATATATTTAAAACCTGAGGGTTATTTTAGAATGCAGAAAAAACACTTGTAGAATAAGGAACCTTCATGTTTTCCTGCTGGATGCTGGCTGATGGATTTGTTTGTCACTTGCAGTTTTTTTCTCTTCACCACTCTGATGCGCTATTGTTAGTAGTCATAGCTACCAGAAAAGATCAAAAGATAGTGTACGGCCTTGTGACAAGCTGACTAAATGGAGAATATTGAATTATCTTCTAGTGGCTCTTTGGAATATTTTTATTCTCTCTTTATGTCTCACTATAATATGTGCTTTGTGTTCTTTGTGAATTAGGAAATAGAATTAGACCCATTAGATTTTTTTTTATTTGGGGTTAGAGTGACATTAAGCTCAAACCATGCCAGTCACATGCTGATTTTTTACCAGTGATGTGTTTGCATCCCTGGATATGATGTCTGTAACAGATATTCCTGACACTCAATGTCCCAGAATCCCCTGCTCCGGCTGCCATTCCCCTGAACTCTCTAGTTCTCTTCTGCATACTGACACTTTGACTCATTGTTTGAGACACGTCTCCTCCGCCTGGACTCCTTCTCTTTTCTTTTGAAGATAGATCCTCCCAGAATGTGCCTTCACCATGGCTTGGTTTGCATTTGTTTTTCTGTATATTTAATTTCTGTTAGCTGTGTTTTGTGTTTTAAGAGAATGCCTTGTGCTAAGTGTGAGGTGATCTCAGGGACTGCAGAGGGGAAAGGACAAGGAGGGGCGTGTGTGTGTGTGTGTGTGTGTATGTGTGTTTGTAAATGTTGTACAGTGTTACCCTGTGTGCACAAATTAAGTTCATATTGTTGTAGTCGTGTTGATGTTAAAGATGATATGTGTAAAGCAGGAAAAGTCGTGTCCTTGTTTGGACAAAGCCACTATGGGAGCAAGTTTGTACTGGGAGGCTTTAAAAGTCGATTTTGCACTGGAGACGTTGGATAAGAAGCATCTGTATGTGAGCAGAACGCGGCTGTGGTCATCATGGTGCAGCTAGACAGAGAAGTAGGCAAGTGTAAGCAGATTCCTCGAACCAACTAGTAATGTGAAAATGGTTATTGATGACTTTGAACCAGAGTACATTCTCCATCTGAGTGGGACGTCTGGATGTCTGTTCTTAGAGCAGATTTGGTGGCTGTCCTCTGTGGCTGACATTCGGACACCAGGAGGCGCTGTGTAGGGTAGTACTGTGGTGTTGTGTTGATGGGAAATGCATGTGTATGTGCTGAGGAAAAGAAGGTGAGATGGACAGGCTGATGTTCTGCCGGGTGTTTCACGCTTGAGAAGAGAATTGATTTTCTTCTATGCATTTGATCTGTTTTAAAAGAATCTAGTTTTTAATCTTTTGTCTCTAAATGACTGACACAGCTGGGAGAACGAGCAGTACGGTTTGGGAAAGTATTGAACACAATAGCAATACGGACTGATTGAACATTCCTGGCATGTCTGTTGAAGACAATACAAGATGATGTGGCAGACTTTACTTTAAATTAGTTTTTTATTGAACATCACATTCCAGAGGGACTTTAACATTTTACAGTGACCTTACTCTGTGTGTATGAATTAATGGGAAAGCAATGGCAGAACACCACAGCACTGTTTCATACTTTATGTATACCATCAATTTATGAAATATGTAGACAGAATACATATGCTCCCAGTGCTTAGAGTTAAAGGTGCACTCCGCCAATTCTACACATGAAGTTCATCATTCTCACCAAGCCTATGACAACAGTTGTATAATGTCATCTGTATCTTTATAAAGTCTGAGAAATGGTAACTACATGCAGGCTATACATTTAGAACAAAAACCCTGTGCATGGCGTTTGAGAGTCCTGGGAATATATCACAGGAGGAGAGCTTGACCCATATTCATATAGACTAAAAGTCAGGATGTCAGCCTCTGCTGCTTCAGTTTTGATTATTCTTTTTGTTCAAATCATCAGATCATGTTCAAATCTGTCTCTCGCAAGTGTCCTAACATTGTAGAATCACTATAGTAAATCGCGAGAGTGCCCCTTTAATAAACTAGAATGAGGTCAGTGTAAAGTGTTTGAGTCGTCCTGAGTTGGAGTGATGCTGTCTCACAAAGTGAGCAATAGCTTATGTTCTGTTATTGATGTCCACTGGGGCAGGTATTTCAGCCTGAAAGCTGTTTCTATGGTGACATACAGTTTATCCATGTATACTATGGAATCTATATAGGTTTCTGATGGGATGATTTGACAATGCATGCATATGAAAACATTATTTAGAATACTGCGTGCATATAAACGCACTCAGGATGTCCAATCACACTATCATCTTTATGGATACAATATGTTTTTCCATTCTTTTTATCATGCGTTCTTCCTAATTTGAGAGGCGTGAATTTACTATTTATATTTAAATGCTTGTACACATGCATTTATCGCATGAAAATTGATAAAGCCTTTTTATTTTAATAAATATTGCACAAATGATTCCATGAAAATTGCTGCTATTAGCACTGTAAATTTACCTGTAAATGGATCAATTGATTTATCTAACACACTCTATCTCTTACTGTATACTAGATTGGAATTCAATAGTTTTGTTTTTTAATCCCAGACGGAGAAACTAAAGTCAGCGCTTTGGTTCAGTGGCCGATCTATTTTTAATATGAAGCAGTACAATTCCTAAAAATGAGGCACTTTGTCATGTGAGCCTTGGAGAAGATGTGGGAGTAAAAGGTTTGAATATTTTCTGGGTGAAAATGTATTTTTTCCTTTTTGAGGAAACTATAAAGTTGGAGTTGCATTGAAGTTGAAGTATGAAACAATATATCACCATAGTCTAGTTATTATCTGTGTATTTATTATCTGGCCTTAAAGCCCAGGACCCTGGAGTCCTCTGATTGGTTACTATAGGTGGCTGTCTGGTATGTTATTGGTTGGCAAGTTGTGAAGTGGTTATGTAGGTTGGACTCTAGTTGGGTTGGTTGGTTGTGATATTGTGGTTCGTAACAGTTATGTGGTAATGAAGGAAGGGAGTAAGGATTTCTCATGTGTTTGTGTGTCGATCGTGTGTGTGAATGTTGGGTGGACGTGACTTTGATTCAGTCGTGTCCGTGAGTCTTTGCCAAGATGGGAAACGACCACCAGCTGCCATTTTACGTATTCTACAGCGGACTTAAGCTGAGAGCAACAACCCCCCCACTCTCTTTGCATTTCAGTCTGTGTGGCTGGTGTCCTCTCCTGTCCTGGTCTTTGCTCGTGGCGCTGTTAAAGGGGTTTGAGATCACTTCAGGCTTCTGGATGTCCCTTTATGTTATTGTGCCTCAGAAATCATGTGATCATCTTCCACACACTGTTTTTCATATCAACGCTTCAGTTCATTTGCACAGAATTCTCCAGAGGGAACACCTGTATACGTAGGAAGAAAATGCAACCTGATTTTATTTTATTTTTCATGTTGTTCTTTACATTGTACTGAAATTGTTTTAATCTTCGGTTTTCAGTTCAGTATTTTGAGTTTTTTGGAGCAATATTCTTCAGCTATATTCCCACACTCACTGCTCAACTGCAAGTAAAAAAGATGAAAATTGGTTCAGTTGCGAGCTATTACTATGATGTGACAGCAGAGCTAAGCTCAAACACTGTCTTTATTTCCAGCACACATCCTGTCTATAACTCTCCACACAGTTTGCAGCATCATAAACGCATTAGTTTAACAGATAAAGTGTGACGCTGACATTAGATATGAAAAATGCAGCTCATGGGCCGCGTGGTGCACATGATCCACACAGCAACAAGAGCCATTTCAATAAGGAAGTAGAAAAAACTAGCAGCAGTAATAACTGTTGTGCTTAGAATGGACTTAATGTTGTAACTTTGTTTCAGGGGTTTTCCTGTGTGCCACTGTAGAGAGCAGAGCAAAGCCAGCAGTGTTATTTATGTGACTGAATCAACCACAAGAACCACACTCAGTTCTATTTTTATTGACGTGTCCAATCATATTCAGCCTGCATATTGATCTGTACGAGTCCTCAGCCCCTCAGAATGTTTCTTTTCTTTAACGGCTTTACTTTCATCAGTTCCTTTTCGTGTCTTAAGTGCTTTTGTTTTGCTCAGAATTTGTCCCATATCTTTGTTGCATTCACCTCCTGTTGCATTTCCTGTAGCTCTGTGCTAACTATGGGATCACTGGTCTGGAGCAACATGCCCTCCCCCCTGCCTTAACGTGGCCTTCAATCTGGAGCCAGACTGGTTTTAGCAGGAACAATCCCAGCTCTCTAACTAAACATGCTGTACCCTCAGTGCACTGTGCTATTGAAGAGAGTCATTCTAAAACCATAAAAATAAATAATCCATTCTGGTTTACTATTAAAATTCCATTTTTCTAACGGAGTCACTTCATCTTCTGATAACATCAACACCATTCATTAGAAGGACATCTGGGCACAGATGCTGTCAGGTTTTAAAGACATCAAAGGGATTATTAACCCCCACCCCCCACCTACTGCCTCACTGGAGGAACAGTCATTGTTTCCCCCTGGTGGCTGCTGTCACACCTCAATCAGACGACGGTCTGACTTCCACCAAGGGAATTTTATATACAACCAGAAACCATCAAAATGAGTGAATTAAGAACCCACCACTGCCCTGCAGCAGCAGCAGCAGCATGCCTGACAGCTTCTGCCTACCCGGGATCATCACGCTGCCAGCCACCGGTCTGAGGCTGCTCTCTGCTCAGAAAAGTAATTGGCTCGGTTTTTGTATTTGCCGGGCACTAAAATATATTTTCCAGCCTTGGTTGTGAGTGTTCACCTTTTTTACTACCTCTTTCTCGCCTGACCAGAGTGTTCTGCCAACTTCTTCCCTGAGGCCTTTTAGCTGACAAAGAGTTGTACCTGCTGGCTGCATCCAGTTCACTTTCTCCGTGTTCTCAAACATTAGAATAAACCACACAAACAACCACGCAATACTCGGCTGCCAGGTGATGCCATACAGCCTTGGGGTTTTTTTTGTTGTTTCCTTTTTTGCAGTTTTTGGCAGTGACCCATATTTTTTTTACAGCTGGGTCTGCTTTCCAAGAAAATTCAGATACAACTTCTCTTCTTGGTGTATTTTAAAGACAGTTGGTATCAATAGAATATTGCATTAAAGTTTCCTAGGTACCAGCAGCCATATTTAACTGAGCTGTGTAATAATAGAAGGCTAATAGGAGCTTAAGGAGGGGGCTTGGTGCTTGCTAAGTCAGGGAGTTTTAATACAACCACGTTACTCCTGCAAAAAAAAAAGCCCCTCCAGTCCCTGTAAGCTTTCACAGAATCAGCTAAAGAAAAAAATAATCCAACATGGGTTTGATGTGGCCTCGTTCTGGTCAACAGTATTACTATATCATCCCAACTAAACATTACCAGTTCTGTTTGTCGCTACTGTTGATTCTTTGGAGCAGGTTTGTCTTGATGTGTCCTTTGTATGTGTGAGTGCATCATTGGAGTGGTTGTTCTGTGTATGTATGTGTGTATATATGCGCATATTAAGACTTATAAAAAGAAAAATCTGAGCACAAGTTTGGGTTTTGATTTAATTTAATTGTTTTATGTAATTCTATGCTGCAATCCAAAGAATAAACATGTATTATAATACATTTATAATTTTCATGTTTTATCATCTGAACAGGAATCTGGTAACAAAAAATAAAAAAAGGAAAATTAACAAGAGTATTTGTTCTTTATTTGTACCAAACTGATCTAATGTTGAAAGAAATGTGCAGTTGTGGAGGCCGATGAGCGTGAGGTTTACACGTTCCACTAATGTCAACTGCTCTTCGGTCCGGTTTTATTTGTTATACGCTGGTGAAATATACTCAAGGAAATTATCCAAAGTGTTTTTCCACAGTTTTTGTTCTTTCCAACATGTCTGCTCTCTGTGGATCAAATCTGATCAAACCACACATATTCCTGATGAAGCAGTTGTTTTATTTTTTTGCTTATTTAGCTGTGATTAATATAATTTAATGTTTAAGAAAGATCTAAAAGGACTTCTCAGTAACCGAGGCTTTACAGCTGCGGGTGAAGTGAAGCCTGCTCTCAGACCTCAAGCCTTTTATTTAAAGCCCGTACAAGAAACTTTCATTTTGTGTTGGTTCTGGCGGCCCCTGGGGACAAAAGCAGTAGTGTTTCCACTGCCTCATTTCATTGATTTTAATAGGAATCAGACCTGGTGGCAGGCATTAAAAGTAACCGTACAGAAATAGCCAATCATCTCACCGATGGCCTGGTTTGTTTATGTAGATCATATAGAGGCATCAGTATAAACTCCTTGTAGTACTTTTAAATCTTCTATACTAAGACCGTACCAGAATAAACTTTAACAGTGTCATTTCTATGAACAGTTTATACTTTGACTTCATTTCCTGTACGTGGTCCCAGTGGGAACAGAAACTCTTCCCTGTGGTGGTGCCTGACTTTGACATACAGACAAAAGAAACCCAAGACACACTGCATGGACTCTGATCAGTTTTTATTCCCTTGTAAATAGAATATCAATAAAAACACACCTTAAAAATAACAAATAAGGTTTATCCAACAGATGAAAAAGTAACAAAAGGCATATGTAGATTTTCTACATAGCGATTACAGAACAGTCTACCGTCCAAAAAAGGCACTAAATCTTGAAATAGATAAGAACGATAGGGGATAAAAATCAATTAAAACTGATACAACAAACGTCTTGCTGAGGTTGATATTTTTCATTCTTTAGAGAATTATTGAAGAGTTTATTGCCAAAATGAAATGGTAACCACTCAAGTTTAAAGAAAAGTAAATGTTTTTTTTACATGACTGATAAAATGATTGAACCAGATGTTCATTTTTTAAGTATATACAGTCATTGGCTGATTAAAGGAGAACGTGAGGAATGGAACATTTACACTTTTATGTTGAATGCACGAATGTCGACCTCAATAAAAACAGCTTTTTGGAACATTAACTCTTCAAATGTCAAACTGCAGCTATTATATTCACAATGTTGACTAAGGTTAGAGACAGACTGGAGCTTTCAGTCCTGAGGCATGAACTGACAGAGACCACACAGACAACAGATCCCTGTGCTTTTAAATCACACAGCAGACCTCAGATCAGATCAAGATCCTCTACAACCCCTTTAACACCTTCCTCGACAAGTGCCACTGGAAGCAGCCACAATCCAAACAGTATAAAGACAAATATTTACCGTGCCGTCTGTGTTAGGGGACAGGAGTATTGCCAGAGGAAGAGACAGTTGGATTTGGCAGGACAAAGACAAATGGGATCGAGACATCAGTGCCTGAAGGACTGTGCACTGTACAGGTGTTCCAGGTGTAAAAAAAAAAAAACAGGATCTGATCTGAAACCTCAGCTGCTTTTGTTCCTGTGAAGAACCAGCAAAGGAAGCTCATCCTTTCAAACAAAACAGTACAGCAAGGCAACAGAGGACTGAAGGCAGATGGTAGAACTGCATTTTAGCCAATGAAAAGATACAACATGCTGCCGCCACTGCTGTCAGAAACAAACTGCACGTGGGTAGTCTGACACAGTGCTGAATATAACTGGAAGAGCAAAGGCTTTCTGTGTCGTTTATGGGAAAACTGGTACAACTGTGTTTCTATTCCATGATCATTTTGACTTATTATGCATTTCAGGTTGATTATAATATGAATACACACTTTCTGACACTCTGATTTCTGTAAATAAAAAGTAAGGAGCCACTTTAGGGTCAAAAACTGAAAGCAAAATCAAATGTAGTCAAGAAACAAAGACCAATCGATTTAAAATGAACTCTGTTATTGAGAAACAACATGAAAGGTCACGAGATTGCTGTCAAACTGTTCTGGTTTTATTATGTCAAGCAGTTATTTTGGCTTATTTCTAGATGATCTACTGAATTTTGGCCCTACTTTAACACTGTAGAGTTAAAGAGAATAACCACTTCATCTTTAAATGTTTAAACAGCCACCTTGTGACAGAAAATAGGCAAAATGTAAAGACAGGAAGAGGATCTGAGATAATAAAAAACAAACTAAGACAGCAGCCTCACATGTACCATTAACAGTTTTGTTTCTGTTCATTGTTTTTCATTTTAACTCTTTTTACTTTCAAACTTTTTAGCTCTAAAATGACTATAAATGACACTAATAAACTACTTTTTCACTTCACATCAATTTGCTGCTTCAGAACTCCGAAGTACAACTTCATGAGACTACCATGAAGGCAGCAATTTTAAACGATTAAAAACCCTGAAATAATCTCAAAACAGCACGTTGTCTTAAATGAATCCACAGATTCACTTCAGAAAGGCTTCTGCTTAGCAGATTTAAAAGAAAATAAAACACATCTTCTAACCCCTAGTGGGATAGTGTATTTTGGTGTAAATAATTCAGATGACAGAAAGCAACTGACTAATGATGCCTCAGAGTTTTATAAACGCTTAAAGCAAAGACACCCAGGACAGCTCTGCTGCCATACAATTAAAGAGACATTCCACCACAAAACTTCAGACATTTTAGTCTGAAACCGACATTGATGGGTTGTTTGTATTGCACCAGGCTGAGGGGTGGGGGTATCTGTAGAAGTATTTCATGGACTATGAATGAATAATAAATTCTTTTTTGGAGTGGAATTTCCCTTTACTTTCAAACTTAATATTTATTGGCTCGATTTCGAGAAGGAATTTCCCTTTTAAAAAGGACACTGACATTTCTGTTGTCCCAGATGAGCCAGTGAACCATCTTTACAGCCTCATCACAGTTTGCTGTCAGTCTCCTCTGAATAAATCAGCTCTACAGTTACTTTTACTCTCCACTGTCTAAATTTGATTCACATTGAAGCAGCTGTGGAGGAACCTGTGGGGTGTAGCTTATAGCTGCGGGGGGGGGTAAAGTGAGGTATTTGTGTTGAGTTTTTAACTCTGAACTAGTAGCTTAGCCTGTAAAGCACCTGGTGATGAACAATGATGAACCGATTTAAATGAAGCCACTTTAGTGTTGGCCCTTACAGAACATCATGTGTTTAGCTTCCTTGCATTGCTTCAGATACAGTGATGTATATACGTACAGTCATTGTAGAAGTCCTTCATGCACTGATCCTGCCAGTTCACTGCAAAAAATAAGGCACTTAAACTTAAATCCATACAGCATAGTTCAAAAAATTCAATCAATTATAGCTGCACCAATCTGTCAACAGAGCTTAAAGGAGAATGAATATTATAAGTTTAAATGAAATGCTAGTGTTGCTGTTTGTCTGAACAGGCAACAGTTTGCTAACGTGTTAGCCATAGCAACTTTATAAAGGTGCATACTATAGAGGGACGTATTAACAGTGAGCTAACATTCTCGCTGATAAACTAGTGAATGAGCACTTGGTAAGATGATGATGTAAGGCTTAATGACAAGTGTTCTTTCAAATTAAAAGAAGATTCACCCATCCAGTTATCAGATATGGTTAAATAGCCACCAAAAGGCTAAAAAAACCAGCAAAACCCAACTTTAAAGAATTCCTTGTGGGGATGGAGATGGATTGGACTTCTACAATGACTGTACTGTACTGATAAATATTTCTTGATTTGACTAGTCTAATCAAAGATTTATGTTTCAGCTAAATAACACTTCCTGCTGTGGTTTTATCAAGAGAACTCACTCACTAAATGTTCAACTATTAGCTTTCTGAGGAAAACCGCAGTTTCCCAGTTCTTTTTTTTGTCTTTCTACTGCCTCTGTCATTCATACCGATCAATGAAATGTTTCAACAGCAGGGACTCTAAGCACCATGATAAAGATCCAATAAAGTGTCATTTAAAATGAAAATACAATTGAAACATGACAGTATGTGTTTAGAACACATGGCATATCGAGCACAAACACAGATATACCTAAAAAGGAAAAATGCATTTTGCTTGCAATAATTTGACACATCTGATGCATCTTTGATTAGCATATCTCTAATACATAATTCCACCCATGACTATCATACACTCAGAAAATACACTAAATTTAAACTTAATACTTTGGCTAATGGTTCACTCACCTTTCACCAACAGAAAGACTCATACTGATAGTTTCTCTCATTTGAAGCTAATATGTCTATATACTGTAAATAGAAATGGATCAGGGTACATATATATATATATACCCCCACAGCTTATATAACATACTGTATATATGTATGTGTGTATGCATACATACACATGTGGTATATGTATGTATTCACTTTACACTTTTATCTGTAGTATCTAGTAACAGCTTGTTACACTGTGGAATACCTCCCAACTGGTCTGTATTGATTATAGATCATCTCACAGTGATTGATTCATTCTGCCTGATCACCCACCGGGTAAGTGGGTACAAATGAATAACACTCGGTCACCTAGACATCCGGGTTCCTAGTTTTATTTTATATTTTCTATAAATCTATCAATGATTTTGGTTTCCTTTGATATTTATTTATCGTGTAGCTTTTTTTCTTTTTTTAATGATGTGTTATTAATATGGAAGCAAAGAGAGGCTGTAACAATCTGAATCTTATCAACTGAATACCTATTTATGAAATTTCTGTTATTGTTCATATTCAAATACCCTGAATTAAATTAAAAAACACCTGTTTATGGGATCCTCATTGTAATTTCAAATTTTACAATTTAAAAAAACAACAACTCAGGAGTGCCTTTGTATGGAGGGGTTATTGGTAAAACTTGAATTTCTGAAGTTATGTCAGTCATGTGATCCAATAAAGACATTCAGATGGGTTACTGAAACCTCTGCACAGTTCAACAACCAACAAAAGTCACTTCAGTTGCATTTTAGAAATTGGAGAACTCACTTGACATTTCACAGAGGGTAATTTAACCACACAAATGCAGATAGATGGTTTTCAATTTCATTCAGTAGTTCACAAAATTCTACATTATAATGGCCTTTCTTTGCTTCCATACATTAAGCTTATTTTACCAGGGCCAGGGATGAAGGAGTGAGTGATTCTGTTTCTTTCTCTCTTTTACATTTTAAAATCATCTTAGGCTCACAGAAATATAACGAGCTGTGACCTCGATGAAACTGAGCTTATTCTGCACTTCTTCTCACTGGAAGGAATAAACAGCAAAAAATTGAAATATGATTTAACTGTGATGAAATGTGCTACATAATTTTAAAACAATCAGTTAAAATGAACTTAACTTTCAAATTCATGTTATTTATCTTTTGAGGCTGTTCAGTTGTGTTGTGATCACAGTGCAAGACCCTGAAACTATTTGAACCCCGTGTCAAATACAGTGTTGTCCTGCTGTGAAAAATGCAGTTTTCAAAGAAATCTGCACAATGCATCATGTCCTGTTAGACATTCTCCTACGGAAGATTTAAAATGCCCAGATAAAACCAAATCAACAAAGTGAAAAACAATATACATTGCTATATGAATTTATTTTTTAATTTGTGCATTAGGCCTGCACAATTAATCGAAATATTCTTAAAATCTCAATAGTGCAGAAGCTGCGATTTTTTTGATAAAAGTAAAACGTAACAAAACAGTATTATAATGAGGTACTGTTGTGCCGTGCCTACAAATCGTTTGTTTGGTACAGACTCCAAAAAATGTCACATCATGATTTTAATAGATCTTTCAGTAAAAATTAAAGTTGTGATGCAAAAATTCTCACTAATTGTGAATCATATCGCAATCGTACAATCTGTCTAAATAATATGATTTCTTTTACCATATTGTGCAGCCCTAGTACACAGTTACTGTGTTAATTAAATAATTCATGATTTATTTTATTTCCGTCTTTGTTTGATTTGTTTTTATTTAGGCATTGTCATAGCCTGCTGGGGAGGACTTTAACAGATAAAGGTTTATCATTAATATTATAATATACTAGTAATGCCTATAAGAGCGTAGCAGAAGGTTGGTGGTTGGAGGTAGGGTTGGGAGGTATCTCAGGGTTGGAGTTTACACGACTTTTGGTCTTTTTTTTTTTCACTTATTACATTCCTATAAAATCTGCTTGCATATTAACACACCTCTGATCCTGTTCCATTCATTACCCCGACAATTCCAATATCCACCGCCCCCTTCAGTCGTCCTCCACCGTTTCCGTCTTGATTTCATTCCCCATACTGCACCTTTCCCCATCAACCTGACTGGCTAGGGCTTGGTTGCTGTGATTGACAGCCGCCTTCTCCAAACCGATTGGGTCCTGGGCCTCGGACAGCGCACTGTGGATGGTGGGTTCGTCCTGGAGGGACGGGGAGGGGGGAGACCAGGACACACCTGTCAATCTGGAACCTTCCGCCTGAGGGCCTGCCCCTGCCACTAGGGAGCGGCTAATCAGAGAAGTGCCCCTCTGTCCAGACAAGCCTCCTCTACCCAGGGCGGAAAACCAGCTAGGGAGCAGCGTGGGAACCTAAACAGGGAGAGCAGAATTGGAGGGAACAATTAGAACATTTTGGCTCCATTTTATTTCTTTTAATTTAAAGTTTCTACAGTACACCTGTCCTCATATCTTTATCTGAGGCCAAAGGTCTTTGATAAATGCAGTTGTGGTGAGGAGGCGGCGTGTTTGTGTAGTCGGGCTGTACCTGGGTCGGAGAGGACAGATCAGCTCGACTGAAACCAAACTGCCTGGCTGAAGCTCTCTTGTCAAATAAGGACACCTCACAACCCTGTGACATAGAAGCACAGAGGTTATACAATAACCAGGTCATTCTACCATCACAAGAATAGTGTCATAATGCTCTCACTACTGGTAGAAATGTATGCTGATTTTACTGCTGACCATACTGAAAGTCTAAAGATAGACCGGGACATGTGACTGTCCTGTTTGTGTAACCGGTTACACAAACAGGAATTAAAACCAAGGAGATTTTATAATGCTATCTGCAATCTAGCACTTTGAGATTCTTTTATGAAAAGTGCTTTACAAATAAAATGTATTATTATTATTATTATTATAATGTTCCATACGCTGTTTAACTTTACTGACCAAAAGTTCACTAAGCCCCACTGTATATTTACTGTTCCACACATTCATACCTCTGAGCTGCTCATCTTCTGTTGTAACAGGGCAGCTCTGTGAGAGGCTCTCGGTGTTGGGGAGAAGTTACAACTCATTTACATCTAGTTTACCTGGTCAGGGAAGTCGTTGCCGTCCACTTCGTCGCTGTTGGACTGACCTCCTGGACTTTGAACCTCGATGCCGTGGCTCTCCAAGATGGCTGCTTCTTCAAAAACACAAACCTCATCATAGGATATCGACCTCAAACAACAACACACTCAAGAGTTCAGAAGCTAACCTTTTAGAGCAGAACAACATCCTGCAACTGCTGCTGGTAAAAATCATACAACTGCAAAAGGGAAGGAGTGTATGTTCCTCAAAGACGCTTTACAAAATTCTACAGCCGTACATCCAGTTGGTCCAGGGTGTGTGCTGAAGACTAAAAGCTCTTTTATGTGTGCTTATTGATTTATTTAGAGAGAGACTGTTTGGGAAACCAGCATAATACAATGCATATGCTGTTATTACTGGATCACATACATAAAGTTTCTGGGTATCTGCTATGTGTAACTCCAACAACATCCACTAATGTTAACACACACACACACAGACAGAGGTAGACATTACCAATGTTAGCGCGCCTCTTGATGTCTTTGCGGCGGTTGGCAAACCAGTTGTAGACTTTCAGAGATGTGACCCTCTCCAAATCTGACAGCTTCTTTCCTGTAACACACACACAGAGGACAGAGGCTCATTTAAGCACATTTTATTTCACTGGTCAAAGAGTATTTTCGAAGTAATGCAAGACTTCAAATAAGTGAAAAGTTTACTAATGATCAGCAGTTACATTTTAATTTTTCATGTGTTTACCTACCTGGTTTCTGAATGACAGCGTTGCAGGCAGTGGCAATCTCCTCTCTCTTCGCCTCATCGGGGTACTGGTTATCACTGAAGTAGCTGTGTACACACACACACAATTATAGTATATTATGATGTTATACGTAGGTATATTATCAACTAACCCTCAACTTTTTCTCCTCCTCCTCCTCCTCCTCCTCCTCCTCCTCACCTCTCCATAACAGCCAGACACTCCTTTCTCCAGGTGAACCGGCTCCCCCGCCGCAGACGGAACCCCGTAGGGGCCGAGCCAAATGGAGGCGGGGCTTGGTGCCAGTCCATCATGTCGTCAAGAGCCAGCGGTGCGGCTCGCATGGCCAGTGTGGCACCTGAATTCATAAATACCAGCTAGGGTTAGTAATAAAGTTTACTTGCATTCAGTGTGTCAAACAGCGTGGTGCTAATTCACAAGCACACCTAAAAATATGTCTCAAATATAATAATGAAATCATTATATATTGTACATCGACTCCGTACCTTTGCTGTGTGAATACTTAATCATCAGGTTGTAAGGACAGAGGGACCCATCACACCCCGATGTTCATTTATTTTACAGCATCGGGCCAATGAAACAAATTAAAGTCAAGAGATTCTAATCAAAGCCTTTTTTTCCATGGGGGACACAGGCTGACTTGACATTCCAATATGTTGGTCTCAACTTAACACAATTTAGTCATTGTTCAATCACAGGAAAAACTGTTTACTGTGTTTATTTCTGTAACGAGGGACATCTCAAGATGCCCATAAAAATGAAAACACATGCCATGGCTTTCTTCTGTCAAAAGGCTCTTTGATTACAACTCATGTCATCTGCAACTCTCCAAATACCAGGAACCTGTCCTCTGCTTCAGACTAACAGCTTAAAAAGAATATCTTCCTTTTAGTTCATACTGCAATCACAGCTATGAATACCAATGAGCTGAGGTACTAAATGATTTTTCCGCACTGATGTATTAGAGCTGTCAATCTAAGGTGTCCAGAGTCCTACTCAAGAAAACTTTAACAGTATGCAATGGACAGACTGATTGTCTGTTGTAAAGCATCCTTTTAATAGATAATTAGCTCTCCCCATTACGTTTGTATTATTGTTCTCCTAAGTCTGAATGACCTGATTTATGCTCAGTCAGTGTTCTCTGGGTGTTATTGCGTTGCCAGTCATGCATTCAGAGCAGCTGACTGGTTATTTAAAAAAAGTGTTATCCGTTTTATTCTACAGTCTTCTTTCTGTGTGGAGGTTATGCAGGAGATGTAGGCCTGATGGTGGAGGGTGGTGTTACCAGGGTTGGTCTTCTCCAGCTGGTACCAGCGGAAGAAGGCTCGTTTCTTCTGCTCGCTGAGGTCTGATCCCTGCTGCAGGAGCCAGTGGGAGATCCGACTCTGACTGATCCCTGGAGGAAGAGGAACAGAGTGAGATCTGTAGCGTCAGCAGACAGGATGTTTGCTGGCATGACAACTTTTTCTGGTGGTGATTTAGTAGGCCTGGTTTGTGTGGCATACGAGGTTGATACCCACCCGTTACCTGAGCGACCACAGCCTGGGAGATCCGCCTGTTTGCCAGGAAGGACTTAATCTCCTCTTTGATCACAGCACTGTCTCTCCTACAGGCAGACGGGAGAATCTACTGTTTACCACAAAGTACAATAAATGTTCATATCTCCAACAGCCATTACTAACACAGTTACTGTACCAGCTGCAAGTCTGCAATCCACACTTCTTGTGTAGGAATCAGAGGCCAGACACTGCTGTAATATTCACTGCTCTTTTTCTGGTTTGATTTCATCTTCACACACCCTCAAATCAATACCACTCTGATTGCTGCTGTCTGACTGCAGACTAAAGGTGTGTGTGTGTGTGTGTGTGTGTGTGTGTGTGTGTGTGTGTGTGTGTGTGTGTGTGTGTGTGTGTGTGTGTGTGTGTGTGTGTGTGTGTGTGTGTGTGTACAGAATGTGTGTGAGTGTACGTGTAGGCATTAATCCATGCATCATATTCAGATTCAGTGTGAGCTACAGGCAGGCTTGTTGTCAACCATCAGGCCCTCTGTATTACCACCTAGTGCAACCACATACTGTATGTTAGATTTTTGATAGCAAGTAAAATTGTCTTAATTATCATAATTCTAATTATGAGTGCAAATTATTGTCATGATTGTAGAAAACTGCACCCAATTTATGTGTGTGATCCGACAGCTCTAAATACAGTTGGTAGGTGCTTGTGTCTTTGCCATGAGGTCTGCCTCTTTTTAATACTGTCCAGTCTTCTGACCACTCAAAGTGCTTACATGCCACTTTCACCCATTCATACATTGATGGATGACTTATCACAAACAGAAACTAACATTCATATCTGGGGAGCAATTTGGGATTCAGTATCTTGCTCAAGGCCAACCTTATGATTAGTGCACAACCAACTCTACCTCTGGCTACAGCCGCCCCATTTTAGCTAACTCAGACACTGGCTGTGTCTGTGTTGTGTGCAGTATTTATAACCACTATAAATACACTACAGCCCATTTTTTCTGCCGATACCAATATCCATAGTTGATTTTATTTTAATCTGATAATGATACATGTATACATGTAAGGTTCCCTTCATTTTTTTTTTTCAAGTGCAACCAAGAAATGTAATGTTCAGGACATTTTACAGTTGAAAAATAACCTTGTCACTACTCTCTGGTGGACAAACAATAGAAAGGTGACACTGTATCTTTTTCACTTGTGTACTTTAATTCCTTGTCATTTATTGGCTGATTAATCAACTGTTTATACTTGCTGTGTATTTAAACATGATGCAACAATGATATCAGCACCTCAAAGACAATATTTCATTAACCATCAAAATACCGTCTCTGAATACCTGCTCTGAGCTGGTCTGGTACTTCGTGGTCTAGACAGTTGTGGTCTAACCTAGTCTAAATTAAGACAAGTCTAGTCTGGTCTTACCTCATCAAGTCCTCCACCTTGTCATCAACATCTATGTCCTCTTCACTGGTCTCAAACCCATAGCCCGGTGCCGTCACGCTGCCACTAACCACACCAAGAGGAAACCGGGGTGGTGACAGCTTCCCGTTGGTGACACCGACTAGACCGTTCTGAGCTACCGCTGCTATGACGACAGGTGAAGCTACTGGAATCGGTAGAGGCGGGGAGGTGGTGTCGAAGTTGTTATTAGGTGACAGTGAGAGTCGGTTGTCAGGGAAACTTGTCTGAGTGGCGGTGGAAGTCATGGAGGAAGAGGCTGCGGCGGTGCTGGAGGAAGACGAGGGAGGCATGTAGGAAGGTTTATGGGCCAACTTGTGTCCATGTTTCCGGTCCAAGTGGTCCAAGGTGTCCAGGGCGTGGAGGACCTCCGCCTGTGTGATCCCTGTCCTCCTTAGCCTCTGGAGGAGGTCAATCTGCTCGATGGTGAAACGAGGCTCCTCACACTGCTGGAACATCCTGGAGGAGATCATAACAACACAATTAATGGCAAAGAAAAACGACACTCAGTACATTTACCCAAGTGATGTACTTTGTTGTACAGGTTTGAAGCAGTGGTAGTTTACATAAATATTCCCAACCTGAAAGTTTTTGCTGGGAAAATGTTGTACATTTCAATCCATTACAGTTAGTTGAGAGCTACGGAATGTTCCATTCACACTGTGCATTGTTTAAGTTCAGTCTAGTCGATAACAAAGGGAGTTAGGTCAGCTACAGCTACACCATTAAAATACTTCTTGTAGGTTATGTCCATGATCAAATTAGACTCGATTTTCTCTCACAAGCATGGACAACTGTATTTAAGACAGCTCGGCAAGAAGCACTACATCCTATCCAACAGTATTTTTCTGCAGACACAAAACAGATCAGAACCATTCTATATCATTTTGTAAATTTTACTGTCTCTAACCTTTACTTATACAAGTAAAATGCACAAAAATAACAATAATAGTAACAATTATTCACTTATGTAAAATTTAATGGAGCACTGTTGCAATGTTGCACTGAATATACAGCACTTAAGGTACTAAGTGTAGGTAGTTTTGGACCACTAATATTGTTGTGGAACAAAGTGCCTCTTTTGTTTGCAGTGTGTAGCAGGCGTTATTCACATCTTGACGTTGGCTCTACGCTATTACGCAGTTGGTGGCAGTAACACACCAACAGAGATAACATAGGAGAAAACAGGGATGTAAACAAGGCACAGGTTGTTTTATTTTAATTAGTAGGAAGGAAATGCACTCAATCCGTTTGTAAGACCTCAACAATACACACAATGCATTTTGGTGAGAAACACTGAATGTAAACATAATTCAGTCGTGGTTGATTATCCTCCACATCACATTCAGTACATGCATGTATTGTTCCCTGTGAATCTCCCCATGCATGGGTGCATAATTTAAATCCCACTCAGGAGGGTGGATTCCATCAGTGGCAAAGAATGCTATTATACCGTAGAGAGGCAATTAAAGAATACAAAGACATTGAGTGGACAAAAACGACTGGCCATAAAAACCAGACCTGATATCATGTAATCTGTATTTTCTACTTCTGATTAAATCTATACATTTTTGCTCAATAGTGACCTTATTCCCTACACACCGAGCTTCACATCCTGTAAAAAAAATCACCAATGAGACAATAACGGCACAAAATGGAAGTACAGTCACATCTGTTAGCTTCCTGCCTGCAGATTTACAGCACATACACACACAGTAAGACATCAGAGCTCAGCAGCTGCTTTCCAGATATGAAGTGCATTCCTCCAGACTAAATAAGGCTTTTATTATAGTACATACCTTTTCAACCCCAATAACCATATAATGTTACCCAAATAATGTAAAGTATGGTATGTTTTCAAACCAAAAATATGCTCACTTCAATGTGGCTTTAACAAAAAGTAATTTGCTTCCCATTTAAACTGATATGCCACATACTTTTAAATGTGCACTGATTTTGTGTCAATAACGGTCACTGAACTAAAGTGAGAGAAAGAGGGAGAGCAGGAGAAATGAGATAACACGTCTGTCTTGGTGCCTTTTTTTTCTGACGCCAAGAAGAAAAACAGGCCACAGCAGAGAATCAAAGTCAGCAGACATGTCAACACTTATAGAGGAGGGTGAGGGTGAGTGTGGATGTGTGTGTGTGTGTGTGTGTGAGTCTTGGGAAAAATGCCAAGAAAAATTTACATCTCAGGCAGCCAAGCTCCATACTTTCTCTCACTGCTGCAGAGGATGAGTCACGCCATACAAAGTTAGACTGATACATGGGATCGATACAGGACTGTGAAATGATCATCTAAAATATTTTGTTTTTATTTCATAATGACTAATTAACAATGTTTTGTTGCCAATTAACACTTCAATTATTTCACTTATTTCGATGTAGTGTTTATAAAATCTTGTTTCCAGTCTTTCTGCATTACTGTTATTCAGTTATTGCAACATTTTCCTGACCAAAGTGCAGCATATGCAAGGAAACTGAAAGTATGAGAAACACTTGAATATTATTCAATTAAAAAGTTATAAATATGATTACAATTGTTGTTCACTGTGCAAGCCACAGCTTTTATGCGCTTATTCGATAGCCGGCAGCAGAGAGATGACAGGAAATGAAGAAAGAAAGAGATGGGGAATGACAACAAAGGTCTCTGCCCAGATGCAAACAGGGGATGTTGCAATTCTTGGTCGACGCCTTAATTCCCAGGCCACCAGGGCCTCCTACCAAATAACTTTTCATGCCCACCCAGCCGTTTGCTCCCTGTCTGAGTTTCATTTTTTGAATGATGAGATTTAGTTTAGTTTTGCTCTACATGCACTGTGAATTATGAGGACTGCAGCGTGTGTATGTGTGTGTGTGTAGATCTGCCAGATGCAATAGACAGACACGTTTAGAATAATCAGAGGAAGCTGTATCTAAGTGAAGTTTGACTCTTCCACATAAGATCAGTGGTAGCCCTGCGAAACATGCACTGAAACTGCACCCCTTTAAAGTCCAGTAAAGAGCAAGAAACGCTGACTAGGACGGAACACAGGACCTAACCTCTACTCCCAACATCATTTAACATCTCCAGCAACATTTCTAATGAAAACTGTTTTATAAAAGGCAGCTGCAGACTTAAAATTAATTCCAGTTTGTAAACTAAGATTAAGACAAGGAGTGGAAAATTAGAAAGAAGAAGAAAAGTTGACTTTCAATGAACAAATATTATTGTCTTATGTTCTTTCTTTATATGTGTTTTTTATGTTTTATGTTTATCCTTTTTTTTTTTAGGGGTGGGGGGGGCTTTATTGGGCAGGAAAGAGTGACAGGAAAAGGGGTGGGACAACAAACCAATGGTTGCTGCTGCAGGAAGTCAGCCTTAATATATGGGGGGCACCAGCTCTACCAGGTGAGCTATAGCACACGCCCCATGAACCAATATTCTTTTTTAGGGAGCCAGTGTCACCTGACCAAACATCTGGACTGGTTTTTAATAAGTGTGGCCACATCAAGGAAAAAGGCATATTTAAAATGATGTTGGCAACTTTGGAGGTTCTGAGGGTAAATGACATTATCTGCAGAGTTCAGGGTTTATTGGACTGACAGCAAACCAGTAGAAAACCAGTAAAACTCCGCCACAGAGATTGTGTGTTACAGTGTGTGTGTGTTACGGTGTGTGTGTGTGTGTGAGAGAGAGAGAGAGACTATGTGGGGCTGGGAGAGAGTATGTGTGCCAGTAGGGATGGAGAGACTAGTAATCAAAAAGTGCTGACTGGCACTGCTCAACTACTTAAGAGATCTCTGCTAAGCAGCAACAGCAGGAAGTATAAGACTGTGGGCATGAACACACACACACACACACACACACACACACACACACTTAAGTAACAACCAGGATAATACTGTTTGACTCCAGATCTAATGTGCCCTTCCAGCTCCCACAATCCTGAAGTGTCATGAGCAAAGATACCCAATGCCTTCCAGCTCCAGGTGCTGCTCTGTAGCTAAACTTGACCTCTGACCTCCCCGAGCAGCAGAGAGGGATAACACAGTAATACATCAACAAACTCTCAGACTGATTCCCTCCTCAGACCTCCACGCACCATGCAAGAAAGCCTCTCACTTTATCCGTCTGTGTGTGTTTGTGAGAGAATGATGTTTGCTGTGCTTAAAGGCTTACGTCTAATAAAGCTTTAACATGTTAAATATGAGCGGGATTAATATTCCTGAACCCAGTGACCTGCATAAGATCCTATCCAGACGTGGCACAAAGTGTAGCCTGGTTGCAGGCATGAGCCAGATGTGCACAAACACAAAAGTCATGTATTTACAGTAGGCAACTTTTTAACTGGCTTCAGAGCACGAAATTTAAACAAAAAAAAACAACAGCTGGCTCCAAAATAGCAGTGGAGCTCCGGAGAGCGTTCTCTTGAAATGATCGTCTTTCACGCCGAAATACATTGAAAAAATAATGGATTTTCATTTCGCCTTGCTTCTAGGAAAATGTGCATGCCCGATAGAGGGTGTCTTAAGACGATTTATGGATATCGAAGAACAACTCCTCAATTCGGCATGCATCTTATAAACCTAACCATTCTTAACACAACTAAACTGTACGTTTGATTCCTGGTTCGTCTGTTGTTCACCGTAATTATCACACTATACTAAAATACACTGTGCATCGCGGTAGAGAGCATTGTAGACCAACTGGAAAAGTTGACATTGTGTTTGATTAAGTGTTTCTTGGTGAACTACGTGCATGCCGAATTAGACACTGACTCTTTATTATTCAGATGAGACCGTTCATATCAGTTTAAACAGTGTGACCCTTCACCGCCAAGTAAAACGCCGCAGCACAGCCGAAATTTTTAAGGAGTTTACAGTTATCACCACAGAGAGAAAAGGAAATGTATCGGGCTAGCAGGACCGTTTTAAGACAGCAGTAGTTGGAGCTGCAGGACTTAACTTACCTTAATATTCCAGTCTAAGAGCCTCCACAGATGTTTATTTGACCATATATGTATTGCCTTGGGGCGCCAGGACACACGAAGACTGTCAGTTTTCCCAAAATGTCTCCTCTGTTTCTAATTGGGTTTCAATCCACCGTCAGACAGATTCGCCTTTTGTCCGGCAGACAGGCGCCATGTTGACACAATGACGCAAGGAACGACGGGATTCGCAGTTTACAGAACTTACTGTACTCACAGAGGTGCCAGTTTATTAAGTACACCTGGATATAAATACAATATCTCTGCAAGGTTACACACCTTTATTTGGTTTATGGTGTTCAGCTTTTGTTGACAACCCTATGGACAATCTGGCTGCACTGTAGGGTGTTTCTAGTATTTTGTCCACCCAGCATTTTTATGTTACTTAGTTTGTCTCAGGATGATTAAAATAGTCAGGTTCAGAACCAACTTTCTATTCTATTCCAGCTATTTAATTCCTGTTTTTTTCACAATCACTAAAACAAGTCACACATTTAGGTGATACACATTAACAAAAAAGTTCAGTGTCTCACATAAATTCAAAAACTATCCTGCTGAAGTAAACGTTACACCTAATCGTACTCAAAAGCTCTCCTGAGTGCCTCACACAGTCACAGTCCCCACACAGCTGCGAAACACTGGAGCAGACAGAGGTGGACACGGTTTGGCTCCTGTGACCTCCGAGTAATTGGAACCACCAGGTCAGTTTCTTCTGGTACATTAGTGACATGAAACATTTTCAGCAGCTGGAGAGGTTCCTGACAGTCAGTGGTGTGCACCGAAGCAAAAGGGCAGCAGGCTTAGGGTTGTGTTAAGGTTTCTTTAACTATTGTCACAATAGCTACTGAGCTAACTAGACAAGTATTAGGTCATTTTAGGGGATTTGGGCTCATCACCAGGTCACTGGGCTGCTGAAGTGCTGCTACCTTGTGGCTTTAGGGCAAAAATATCCCATTAGGGCCACAGACGCATTGTGTCCTAGTTTTAAAAAAATGGGAATTTCAGTACACAGGGGGAGTTATTCTACTTGTGACTCTTCTGGAGCTGACAACAGAGTGTTATAACTCTTTTACCCAGAATGCTGCTGATGTGTCAGGCCCAGAGGGAACCTAGATATGGCCCTTACTTAGATCAGTGGCGCTTCTGAGACCCGCTGGTTTGCATTCTAGCTGCCTAATCAGTGACTAATTAACACTGTGGAGACAATGGGAATACAATTATCAACCTGGTAGGTTAGAAAATCGGCAGTGATGTGAGCCCTGACTTACCAAGACTGAGAACCATTGATGTATGCAAGAAAAGTTTAGTAAAGTATTACCAGACTGCACTGTGCATATGATACAACATGGTCATGCAGGGCCTGTACCTGTTTTATAATCTTGGATTCTCCCAGTTAGTAAACTCTTCAGGATGATATTCAGGAGCAAACACTGCTCAATCGGCATGTTTAGAGCAGACCTGAGAGTTGCTGTAAAACCATTTGGATTTGAAAGGTCTATTGTTGCAGGATGTCAGCTAAACTCAGTAAGATGCTGAATCTGCTGCATTAAGCCAAAATATGATCCTGGACATTCGGACACATTTAATGACACATTTCTTCTCTCACTGCTCATAATTTGGTGACCTTCTGTGCATCTAAAAAATGAAAAATAAATCACAGTGAGTGATAATATAGCTAATAAAGAAAAAATACCACTTACGCTGTGATTGAGTATATCGTTACCATTCATTATTGTATGTTGTCTATGTTATGATGCTTTGCTGGACAGGCCTTATGTAAAAAAACTGAAGATGTATCTTAGTGGGATCCTAATCTTAAGCAATATAATAAATCAATGTTTAACCCAGACTAATGAGGTATGTCCCTTTACAGTTAAATCCTGTTGCAAAATGGACACAAACAGATGGACAATGACAACACTGTTCTATTTATTGGTAGAAAACCTGTGAGTATGGTATAAAATATAAAAATAAATGTTACTGACAACAACTAACACTTAGACATAGTAGTGATAGTTACAAACACAGCGGTTTTAAACTAATAGAGAGGTCTATGTGTGTGTGTGTGTGTGTGTGTGTGTGTGTGTTCAGGAGGGAACCCAGATGTTGCCGTGTGTGTCGGGAGCCTGGCTGTAAGGAATGTTCCAGATCCAAGGCTGATCTGAAAACAGAGAAAGAAAAGAGGTCACCTATATTAAACGTGAATACTTTGGTTTCATGAATAAAAAGGGACAAAATGGCAGCATTTATGCCAGCTGCAGTGTCTCCACTCACTGTCTCAGAGGTACAACATGCCTCACTCAAAGCATAATTTCTAAGTGCAATCTCATAGGGTCCATCGATTTTAAATTATGCCCATTCAGCTGCATTGATCTGCTAAAAGAAACAGGACTGATTCTGAAATAATCTATATGACATGAAACAATATGAATTGAACTAATGAGGAGTTTTGAACTAATGATTTCTACAGTGAAGTACTGCGGGAAAACTACTCGTCAGTTCAGCCTCATTGGTAGAATTATTCACATTTGTTCACTGCTCTGACTATTCGCAATAAACGTGATATAGTGCCATCTTGGCAGGGCCCCCCCCCCCATATGTGGTTTCCAGAAAAGCACTTGCTGATGATGGCAGTGTGGGGAATGGATTTTGTTGATGTGTGCCATTAATTAAGAAACTAAACAGTTTACAACCACCTTTCAACCCAGTAGAGGGAGTGTCTGAAAAGATCTAGTCAGGATGAACTTCATTTTAAACCCAAACCCTACCTCTCTTTGGAAAAAAATCTGCCTTTTTTCTCTCACCTGGATTACTGTAATACACTCACACGCGGAATTACCTAAAAAACACTATTAGGCTGCAACGTTCAAAATGCAGCAGCAAGAATAACAAAAAACATGAAAAGAGAAAATATTACTCCTGTACTAGCATCATTACACTGGCACCTCCTTCATACCTCTCCGACTGCTTATCTGAGTAGGTTCCAAACCATTCCATTAGGTTGCTTAGGATGACTTAATTAAATATATGGTGTTATATATGGTTGTTTTTAAAAAAAGAAAACAGCTCAAAACATATTTTAGGATCTAGCTTTTTTTTACATTGTTATATGTTATTTCTCATACTTGTGTTATGGTTTGTATATCTTATGATTGTTTTTATTACTAGTATCGTTATGTCTCTAGTTTTTAATACCTGTGTTATTGATTTGTTACTTTTGTGAAGCACTTTGAGCTGCATTTGATGCTATAAAAGAAGTAAAGTTTATTGTTATTATATATTATTATTTTGTGAAACTAGGAACATGGCTTAATTTAAAGATAAATAAGAAAAATAGACAAAATTTATATTTAGGTCTGTCCAAGTTTAACAATATGCCACAACTCTCTAGAAATATTTAAATTTCAACCTGTGTTTTGAGGAATAAATGATGCTCTCTTAAACCTATTTACAGCTATGGTTTTAATATAAACCATTCACCTAAAATGCCCCTAGATGTCACTGTAACTGCAGTTTAATCCTGCTGCACGTCTGGATTCACTGAAGTTTAAGACCACAGAGTTCAGTACAATGCTGAAATTAGACTTTGAAAATACACTTTAAAATTAGTTCAAACAGCATTATTAAAGACCATGTGATACTATAACCAGGGTTACACCTGAGAGGACCCACTTTTAACTGCAGTTAAGCAAGAGTCAAACAGTAAGTTAGAGAGCAACAGACTCACTGAGTAATCCAGTCTGCATCTAACTACATACAATAGATTTCCTACACACACACTGCTGTACCTTTAGGGGAGTAGCATGTAGGAGGAAGGTCGAAGGGAACAGGGAAACCAGCGGAGGAGGAGACGGGAAATGGGTTTTTGTGAACAGGGAAGGTCTTCATGTTCTGGAAGGAGAAAACCATCACACCACATATTACTACACAGCAGCTCTGTGTAGCTTTTATTGTTACTCAGCACATGTAAGACTTTATCTTCTACGCTGTTATTCATATTTATGAACAATGGAAATGTTTGGAGGTGTGTATTGGACAAAGAATGACATGTTAGCACAGAGATACTGTTTGTCCATGTGGGTTGTTCTTACGAAGGCGGAGGGCACGTAGAGGACTCCCAGCTCGTACGAACGAACCATCACCTGAGTGTTGTTCTTCTCCAGTGCACCCCATGCTGCTTTGGACAGGTTGGCACTGAAACACACGCAGAAACACACACAGTTTGATGTTTTAATACAGCTGTGAGGATAAGGAAAGGACCATCTCAGCTTATGAATAATCTGAAATGATCGTTTCAACTGATTTTCAATTTGGTGGGGTTTGACGTGACTGCTGCCCTAAATAACTGCCGAGAACAGTTTTATCTGACACACTGATGAGAAACATAATGCATACAACCACAATACACAAATTATACAACCATATTTATTATTGATTATGGTTTACATCTTACATAGAGTATATTGCTAATTATTTAAGAGGTGGAAATTGAATTACATTGTTGTCGTTATAGAGAAAAAAGAGGAAATGCATTTGGCGCAACAAAAATTACTTTTGGCTTTAAACTTTAATGGTACTGTTTCTTTAATTCGTGTCTGCACAAGTTTCATTAGTAATATGTAAGAAATAAAAGAACACTGAATAACAATTGCAAATGAAGACATATATATTATGTCACATAATAAAACTATTATTAAGCTGGCACACACACCTTGTGACGAGGAACCACGCCAGCTGAGTGAAATCTGGTGATGCCCTCATGTACGTCTTGATGTGTGGCATGGCATGACTCCTTCCTGTCGTATTCGCCTTCCATCGGCTGCACACATGCAAAAAGAGTATTTTATTCATCTGTTGAATTAAACTTAGAGCAATGTTTAACTATGAATAGGGCTGCTGTGTAAACTGTAGGTCTAAAATCATCCTGTACATGGAGACCAGTCCCATCATTTCTGACCAAATTTCAAAGGCAAATGCAATTTGTGACCTTGTGCACTGGGACAAAGAAGACAGACATCCTAACCAGTTTTACAGACGTGATGTAACATGGAAGTACCAGTACAACATGGCTGAGTTTTAATTTGTAGGCGTGAACTTACTGGAAGAAGGAGTGGAGCCAGAGTTGTTTCTGAGCTGTCTGGATGCTGTAGGGAAGAGAGCCTCCCGCTGGAC